CCGTTTTACATTTGGGAGTCGTTATTTAGAGACCGAAGACCTCTCTCCGAATTATATTCCCGTCGCGGAGCAATCCGGAAACCGGCTATCACCTGTTATACATTAATATAATTTGGTAGACGTTCGAAACAAGAAAGACTTTGTAAAAATATTTTTACTACTTTTTCTATATTGATGTTTCACTTAAATACAGGGTGATTCAAAACGCAGTACATATGTCTTAAAATATTGTTTGTATTTATTTATTTGTTACGTGCGTTATACTATTTTTTATTCAATTGGTTGCATAGAAAAAGGCGATATCCAACTTATTTAGCATATTTTTCAATTTTCATATTCAGTGTTGTTGGAATATTAAAGCCTTTTTTCGCGATCCGCGAAACGCCCCGAGGTCTTTCCTTCGTCTCTTAAGGGTACTTTGGTGGAGGCTTTTCTGCGTTTTCCTAGCTAAATTTTCCTCCGTCTACCACCCACCGTCGAAAACCCAAAATCCGCCCCCTTAGAAATTTTCTTAGTAAACAAATTTAATTTACAATGTTATCTAGATAAATAGATATACGTGGGCTCTCGTAGCTTGCACCTAAATCTATAAAGTGTTTACAACAGTGGTCATGGCTACAGTCGCGCAGCAGTGAAAGACAGTTGGAGTAGCGCATATGTACTATCCAGTTTAGGCTCTGTTTAGTCCGCCAATAACCAAATAAATGGTAGCTGCTCACTGCTTTTTTTCTTATTAAACGTAATTTGTTTAAGTGTGGTGTAAAATTTTGTTACCTACGAATTGTTTCTCGTGTGCATTTTGATAAATTATGACATTTTTAATATCATTTTTGATTTTAAAATTAACATTTCAATAACTTCCGTATATTTTTTAGAATATTTTTAGGTGCAATAACATTGTATCACAGTATAATACTACATCTGTCAAATTGTATTATACTTTCATAAATGCAATTGCTTTAAACTCTTGTCTTATAACGAACATTTGTATTCACAGAAGTGCATCATAGTAGTGTAGTACTAAATCATATTTAAATTTTTCCACGCGAATCACTTCGTGATCACAGTTTATAGATGATCTAAATACGTAGGTAAAAGTTCTTTGTAAAAAGAGCAGTGCATACTTGGACTCTATGTCGATTAGCTGATGCTCTCGAACGGTGTGCGGAGGTTCTGGTTCCACAATCTTCTCTTCAACAGCTTTTTTCCTCCTTTTGTATTTTCTATTCTAATTCTCAAGCACTCGTACTTTCTTTTGATCACAAATTTTCCCTTCTACCGACTCTGTTCTACGTTCGAAATTCTATAGGTATAGGTTAAAGCAATCAGCTGTGCTAGCGATCACATAGCATGTATACCTATATACATTACAAGGACTGCTAGACTACAAATAATAAACTCAGCATTACCAAGTTTCTGTTGCAACTTTTGGCATTTATTTATGCATATTGGGTAAACAATAATAATTGAGAAATGAAAATAGTATGTGCATAATAATGTAATATTCCACGTCAAGTGGTCTCTTCCTCTGCCGTAATTGAAACGACTTGAAATATTGAGTTTGGGCTAAAAATGTTCGCATAAGCGAGGGCTTTCGAAATTTTAATGGCCTTTTTGAAAAACTCTATAACCCCATGACCCCATTAACAAAATAACCCTAAAACTTGATGAAGTGATCTTACAATATGATTTCTACGACTTATCCCGTCTCAATCCTATCCCGCTTGAATTGAGCTGTTTGGCCCTAAAACCCTATTAAACCCGTTACCCCTTTACCTTATAATCCTCAAAACCCGATAACCCCATAACTATACAGATACAGCCCCATAAGCTTCTAAACCCCTATAATCGAAACCGTAACACTTTGTTTTTTTATACCTCTGTAATCCTGTAATCCCATAACCCCTTGGCCATAAAACACCAAACCCTATAACCCCACACCAGAATATGCTTAACTACAAATTTGAATACGCCTGCCTCAATCATGTCTTGCCTGCACAAAGTCACGATTTATTCCAAAAACTGTATTACAATGTCGTCAGTATCCAAAAACCTCATAAAACTTCGAACTGTATTTGAATCACCGTGTATACGAACGGAAAAGTAATTCTCAACAAAAATAGAATCAAAGGAAGAATAAGAATCGAGAGTATCCTTTAGTAGTCCTCTACGGCGTCCTTTGGTGACCCGAAATAAAAAGTTCTGTTCGACCATGCGATTAACAGTTCAGGCTACATAGAACTTTCGTTCTCTGATAAGCATGGAAATCGTTAAAAACCCCCGATAAGGGTTCTCCTACGGGCCCCGGGAGGTCAAAGGTTAACGCTTCGGCAACGAGAAGGCTCTGCTTTTTGTGTAGATGAAAGTCGCGCGATAAAATTCAAAATGTACCTATTAATTCATCACTGATAAGGAATTATGCTTTTTTATCACGTAAAGGTGAAATGGATGTAGGAAATACATGAACAAGCGGTGGTTCTGTAGCGGTGTAGCCGGTTGGTTTTAAAATTTATAGCCATTTATTATCGTTCTGGGTAGCTAAATAAAAAAGTTCTTCACACGTTGCAAAATGTAGTTACCAAATTAGAAATGTGAAAGGCGTCGTGTAACGCCATTTTAAGAAGTAAAGTAGATGTTTAATTATTACTTCTTCTCGACAATTATTACATCTACAAGAGCGGATTTCTATTTTAAATCTTTTACGTGCACTGTGGACTTCCTCAAAAAGATATAAATACTTATAATTCCCCTTAATTAGAACTTGTATTGAACGAATCTTGATCTTACAGAAAATAATAGACAAATTCGTTTCTTAATTGAATAAACACATCTAAATTAATAAAACCAATTATTTTTTTTAGTACTTTCATGATGATTATTAAATGGTCCTTGAGGAGTCTGAACAACCCTATACACATAACCCTATTCACATAATATTCTTTATCTTTGTTACTTTTCTTGTGTTTTCAAAATTACCTTTAAATAATTGAATGATATACATCATTCGAAGATACAAGCCGAACTCATTTTTTTTACGGAACACCCGGTATATATCGTATTTGGATAGAACGCTATCTCAGGATTATAAAAGAGTATACTAACAATATAATTTTTAACCTTTTTTGGTCGTACATTTTCTTTTGTGGAAGTGCGTAGTTCTGGAGTTATTTTAAATTAATTTTGCTAAAGGTAATGTAAGTTAAAAAAAGCAACTCGAAGGCGATTATTATTTCTTAGAATTTCAAAAATATCCTACCGAATTGCTGAGGTTCTTAGTGATAATGACTCCCCGAATCTCCGCAACTGGTCAAAGTATTTATACAGGGTGATTCACAACTTATCCAGCAAAATTTGGCAATGAATGCGTCATAATAAATGGAGTCAATATTGTACAACATTTTTTTATAAAATCCTTATAGTTTCTGTGAAAAAAATTATTGAAGTTGTAGCATTTTTAATCTTTACATCGCTGGGCTACTGTAATCTTTAACGTCATTCGCCCACGTGGCGCCAAGCGATTCCGAATACTGAAATTCGATTTTAGTATGATCACGATAGTGTTTACCTTAGTTTTTCAAGTGTCAAAAATGGCTTACGTGTATACGGGCCCAAATGTGTTTACACGTCGGTGGACAAAATTTTGAACAGTTGTAACATCAGGTATGTCAAATTATTTTATTAATTAAAACCACAAATTAATTTTATTAATTAATAGTTACAATAGCGGCAAAAGCAGTTGAATTTGCTGATATAAAATGGGTGTTATAAAATTTTATTAACTTATTTCTTTCCTTGGGAAAGAAATTTTTTTTTATTACACTTTGCCGCCTAGCCGGTCGCCGACTGCATGTTTTGCCTTGCATAAGGTCGACTTTTACAATGAATCAGTTTCAAGTGCCGAACAGTAGTGTATTTTTAAATCTTTTTCGAAGTGCCCTTTTTGATATTTTTTTCAAAATTATACATTCAAAAATTTTGTTGAATAAGTTCTGAATCACTCTGTATATATGAATTCAGCAGGCTTAATCAAATGAGACATTAGTCTCTTATGTTTGGACCCTCTACATCAAATACTTTCAGAAATATTCAGAAAACTATTTTTTTGACTTTTCTCTTTGGTAACGTTAATTCAAAATATAAGTTTGGCCAAATAATCTTCCAATTAATCTACTATAGGCGTCCGGAGGAAGAACGGGGACACAGACACAGAAAAGAAGGGACTTTGCTCGTTAGGATTTTGGATCACATACAGAAATGTGCTGTCAAATAAAGAGAAAATAATTTTGATTTATTTTTTATTATATAGGTATTTACTTTTACTCCCCTTGAGAATTCTTTACGAACGTCCCTGATTATATTTTATTGACTTTTTTTAAGTGTACAATAATATTCAGAACATTAAAATTCCAGCCCTCTATAAAAAAATTGGAATACTATGTATCTATCCAGTATAAATTTCTATAATGGTTACAGACTGATGCTGTTCTCACCAAATCAATTCTCAGAGTTCCTATAAGATGTCGCGAGTTCACAACTTTAATGTCGGAATATTAGATTTCTTTATTAAGTTCTACGATGACGGTGGCCATTGTATGTATGGTATTTAAACAAAGCAATTTTACATACTCGTTTATCAAAATTAAAATATACATTATGTCCTGTTTCATATATCATAATATTTTAATTTACAAAAGCCTTTTTTTATCTAAGAATGTAGGGTAGGAGTGGTAGGACACATCTATTGAATAGTTGCTTAACTGAGATAGTTTAGCATAAATCCAACATAGGGAGCCACATTTATTCAAGAAGAATTGAAAATTAATATTTTTGATATAAAGTTACGTCGTTATAAGGTTAAAACATATTTATTTATTTTTATTTACTTTAAAAACTTTATTACTTGAGCGAGTATGAGGATATAATAGATTATTAATAAATTTCTGCTTTACAGTAATCTATAATTGAAAGCATTTTATTTTATTTTCGCCATAACTTTATGCGTGATGACGTCAGCTGTCATAAGTGTCAAAATAAAGTAGGTGTTTTACTGTAGTGTTTTACTTTGTGATAGAACACGCAAAACATGTAAATAATTAAGCAACACAAAATGGTACTACTAAGCCTTCTATACGTTCTTATAAACTTTTTAATAATAAGTGTAAAATGTAGTGATATCACTCACCTAGCATTCGGTGGTTTCACGGATGGCATGCCAGCAGCATTTGGCGATTTCAATTCGGATGAACTCACCGACGTGTTTGTTTTGTTGGATGGTGGAAAAACCGTAGAAATCCTGCTTGCCCATGAAGAAGAACCATTGCTTCGTCCTGCAAAACCAGACCGATTGAGATGTACGTTTAGCAACTCCTTAATAACTAGTGTTGTGCCTGGTGATTTTGACGGCGATGCTTTGATGGATGTTATGGTCACAACTGTCTATAAAAGAACGGAAGCCGACAATGAGCATGAAAGATCTTTAACTAATGTTCATATTATTTGGGGTGGTGCAAATTATTTGAACTGCAGCGAAGACGCAAAGCCTCTTATTAGAATGATCGGACAACCTTTAGCAATTGACTACAATCAGGACATGATAATTGACCTATTTGGGCAAGACGAGGAAAAGAAAAGGATGTTCTGGGTCTTTGAAAGGTACAGAGGAGTACCGAAGAAAATTGCAATGGAGGACAATAGGAGACCCATGGCAGAACTTAAGACACCACATGCACATGCATTTTTGGGTAAATATGTTTTTCAATAAATTAGGAATTGACTCCATCTTGGTTTGCAATACTCAATCTTATGCCATAGACTAATATTTTATTGCCTTAATGCACAATTAACTACTTATTTGGATTAAAAACTATCAATCCATAATAATATTGTACCTTCTTTTTAGATCTGAATGATGATTTTATGCCAGATTTGTTCTTAACTACCAGTGACAATTTTGAAATATGGTACGGAAATGAAGGAGGCGGCAAGTTTGTCCACAACTCTACTACTCCTCTTCCAGAAAGCACGAATAATCAAAAAGCTGCTGTTATCGGCCAGTCCTTATTCATAGATGTTGAACTCAAAGGAAGAATGGACCTCGTTACTCCAGTCTGCTTTGAAGGTACCGAAGAAAACTGCAAAAGTAGCGCTCTCATGGTGCATTCCGAAACAGGATGGTTAAACTTGCAAGTAAACTTCAAGGATGACAATTCGAACAATTGGAATTTTTACATGTCAAAAGGCAGCAGATATACAAACGTTATAACTCTTCGCAGTGGTGATTTTAATATGGATGGGTATCCAGACATACTGGCAACTTTAGCACAAGATGGTTACGATCACCCTCAAACATTCCTTTTAGAAAATGTTGCTTGCCAGTCTGGTTGTGGCAAATTTACACGTTCATACGCCGTAAAATGGAACGCTTTAAGTCCTTTCAGAAACGGCACGGCAATGGCTGCTTTCTTCGACTTCTACCAAGACGGTATCTTAGATTGCATTCTAGTAACCTACAACGGCAAGGAATACAAAACCGCTGCTTTCAAAAATAGTTTGGACTATGACGCCAACTTCGTGAAGGTGATGGTGTTAACAGGGTTAACAAACAAGAACAATGCAATGATTATGGGTCGGGTTGGAAAAAAAAGAAGAACTTATGGAACAAATTTGCCTGGTCCTTCTATATCCTACAAAACCACAACACAAGAAGGGAAAATAAGACATGGGGTATCTGCACAACTGCCTCAATCTGCCCACTTCAGCCTCAATCTTCCTTACACTATTTTTGGCTTGGGACGCACACCAAATTTTGTCGATCAATTAACAGTAGGACTTTCCAACCACTCTCGGACTTGGACGCAAATTATACCAAATTCACAGATGGTTGTAATTCCGTGGCCACCAGATCAGCCGTTCAGGTGGAAGGCGCAATTGTTTGTGACACCAAGCAAATTAATTTTGATGTCTGTAGCTGCACTGACTGTGGTGTGTGGGCTGATAACTGTGATTATTGGAGTATTACATTGGAAGGAGCGACAAGAAGATAAGAAAGAACGTTTATCAGAGTCTCACCGTTTCCACTTTGATGCGATGTAAATTATTAATAGTTTTAAGTGTATTCCTAATTTATTAATAAATAAAAGTATGTTTAGGATAAGTTTTCCTTTTCTCAATTACTTAATGGAAACAAAAAAAACTATCTCGTTTTTATTAGTTCCACTGATAGTTTTAATCAGGATTTGATAAATAACATGGTTCTAACGCTACAGTTAATTAAAAATAGCAGATTGTATGATTTCTCATCTTATATAAAAATTTAAAAAAAAATGATAGTTGGAAATAGTTTACTAGTATTGCATTTTAACTTCTGGATGGCTTGAAATTTGAAATCGGCTTCTCTAAAATTGCACATTTAACAGTCAATGGGCACGGATATACGCTGTCTTGTCTATATATGGATTAATGAATACACTAACACATTTCCAACAAAAATCAGCGAATAGAATAATACATTTATTTTATACATTTTAAAAATGTAAATATATTAATATTTTTGCAATGAAGCCGCAAGAAACACACTATTCTATTCCATAAATAACACCCTTTAAAAATGTTAATACTTTGAAAATATTTATATAACTATTTATACAAATATCACAAAACAAAGCAACAAAAAATCATTTAAGAACGGGAAAAAATAAAAGATTTCTTCTGATTTTTTGTTTTTGGCGCCTGGCTAACCTGCGCTGTCCGTCATGTTGGCAGCGCGTATTCCACCAAATTTCCCAAGTGCCAAGAAATTCCAAAAATAAAATAAATTTCATTTTCCCGTCGCCATTATAGCGGCGAGATCGTGAAAGTGCTTTGCGGCAAATAATCGTCGTTATCGACGAGGGGAGTTTCCTGCTCCCGAAAGTTTTCGGCTTAATTTTCCACCACCTTTTCGACGTTCAAATCCGAAGAAATTACTGTCGATTACGGTTTTTTTCTTGTTTGTGATTTTATAAACATGGCTTTTTAAGATGTCTGCCTTCGAATTGTGCGTAGCCACTCCTTCTGGAGGAGCTTCCAACTCCAAAAATACATTAGCTTTTAAGACTGGAGGACGTAGGGATGGACAAGAAAGGAAATCGCAGTTTACCTTCCCCGAAGGGCCCCGCTGCTGACTCCAAAAAAGGTTTGTATCCTATTCCATGCAAGGTCAAGAGTCAGTAGACTCCAACATGGAGACCACCAGATACGTTTCAAATTTTACCTTTAATGCGCTGACATAATATAAACATTTATTATTTATTTGGATGCGACAAAATTAAAGACAACTAAAAGTGTACTAAAGTCATATTTTGTGTGTGTGGCATTTCTGTGTAATAATGTATGTATACTTATACGCATCTAAGGGATATTGAGGCATTGAGGGATATTGTGAAACATTTTGTTAATTTGTTGTATTCCTTAGTAGACAGGCTCATTTCCTGTACCAAAGATATATGAAACTGATTTAAAATAATTATAAAGACTCGGGTGCAAAAAGTATTATTTGAAGTAGGTATCTGTAAGATAATCATTAATAAGTAGGTATATCCGTATATCTTAAATATTTCTCTATTTCTTATAAAAAAAATTGACCTAGTTATCTATTGCGTTGTAATTACGATACAATTGGTACTTAATTGATTGATGATTAAACTTTCATCTGAGATGTTTTTGAAGCACTCAAATCTTTATATTTATCTATTTATTTACATTTGAGCAACTCGGGGGGAAAAATACTATGAATAGATTTGTAAATTTATTTTAAAGCAGACTCCCGGGAAAACCATTTCTTAATAAGGACATCATTCAGATGTGCACCCACCATAACTCTCTATTATTATATAAATAATAGATATTTTCAGCTCTGTTCATGACACTTTAAATAATTGTTTCAAATCCACCTTCATGGCTTAGACTGCATTATAGTGATTGTACAAAAATCTTATAAGACAATCGAATTTTCCAGATGTTGTCAGTAAACAGTGGCCCCGCGGTAGTCGACGCCGCGAGGCCGCAGGCAGCAGCCTCTCCACCAAAGGTGAGTCCTCCCGTAAGCCCCAGCCACAGCGGGACAGAACTTTCGATAAGCGGCCTAAGCCCCGCGGCACTTATCATTCGTGTGCCTTGGTTCGAGCTGAGACGGCCTGGTTAGAGGAACAGGAGGCTGAGTTGGGTTCAGTTTTCTTACCAGGCAGCAAAAAGCAGAGCCTGAATCACCTGTTGAACTTCTCGTACACACCATATTCGCCCAGGGAGGGCTGTCATTCGGAGAGGGGACGCGGGAACGGGGGTAGCGGGGGACGGATGCTTGCCACAAAGAAACACAAATACAACAAGGAACATTTTCTGCAAGCTAAGTAAGTTTCGTTTTAGAAAGCATTCAATATTTTCAAGTGCGAGAAACTTCTTTAAACTCGCTTATTGGAAATAAGCAAAATTTCCCAACTAAATATGTATTTCGTACTTAAATTTTACTAATTTGTTTTGTATTTAATAATTTTTGGCTTCAAGGAGCTGACTAAGGAATTATCACAATTCACTTTTCCACATGTTGCAATAAATTGAATTTATTGATCAAATTTAAAGTTACTATTGAAATCAAAATTATTCACAATAACAGCAGATTGAAAACCAAAACATCAATAGATACTAGTTTAGCTTCAATAACAACCTTTATATGTAATTGTTAATATGAAATAAAAACAAAATTTGTAGAATCTAACTAAATTTGGTACTACTGAATAATTATTATAAAGTCACTAAAAATGATCAAAATACAGGGTGTATACCAATCTGGAAAATCTGCAAATATCGCAGAATTTCATAGATCTGGTAATAGGGAATTTTTCGAATTTTCATGGAATTTCTTCAAATTCCAATTGTAATCAGTAGAGACCGCACTTCATTCGCACATGACGTCATTATCAGGGGCGGACTCAGGACGCTAAGTTAAACTCTGTAGAAACTGAGGTGCAAACACCATACAAAAAGTAAAAATCAAAGTTTTACCTTGTACTGACGATTTATAATATCCACTATGATTCATATTAAGATTATTAGTTTACAAAACACTCTACACTGAGCTCTACACCTATTCACTTGCAGTGCTGAACTAAAACTGAATAACCAGTAACTGCTGTAAATGTTCAGGCGTTAGGTTGTGGCGTTTATCACTAAAAATCCATTTAAGTTTCAAAAACGTACGTTCAACGTCCACAGATGTTACTGGGGCATATTTAAAGTATATATAATTTTTAACAGATGGCATATTTAGGGTGGATTCAGAAAAATCTACTTCTTTACCTTCAAAAAGATCTACTATGCGACATACAGTTAGAAATCCCGGATTGTTCTGCAAAACGGTATCAATTTTTTTCTTCACACGTTCTGCACTATGTCCTGACACCTGGGAAATAAACTGTCGCAAGTCTAAAACATTATTTACTGCGTTATTTACTGAATATTCTGATGATGTCACAGTTACTTCAAGACGGCAAACTGACGGTATTCGTGAATAATTAAAATGTATGTATGCTAAATCTTCACGAAGTGTAGGATCGTTAAATATCTTTTGAGCACATAAAATAGGAGTAGCATCACTTGAATCAAATTGCTGTATAACCCTTTTTATGCCGTTAAAGTGTACGTAATAATAAGATGTTGCATCTAACCACGTACCCCAACGTGTCAAAACAGGTTCTGGAGGTAGTGGTACGCCTGGAAGAGTTTCTCTGAACAAATTTATCCGGGCTGGTGCTTTCAAAAATATTTTCTTAACATTAGCTATCAATTTGTCGACATTGGGATAGCACTCTCTAATCGTCTCGACGACTCTATGTAATCCATGTGCGAAACATGTCACATGCAACATGCAACGCGTTGCAGTAGGTCTCGCGAAGACGTTTCCCAGCCGCTTTCATGTACGCAGCCGCATCCGTTACAAAGAGCAGCACGTGGTCTTTCTTGGCTTCATAGTTCTCACCCCATAAAATGGACAAGACGCGACGCTTCTTTACGTATGATTAGCATGCAACTGATATGATGTTGATGATTGATGCATGACTTGAACGGCCCCATCTAATAGGAATGAAATCCGTTTCCCCCGCCCGTCGACCGACTACCATGACTTTGACACGTGCGGGGTAAATAAACATGGTGCTTTTGTCGACTAGCCGGCACTATTATTATTATTTTGTGAAGAATGGATGAATATTTAAATATTGGGATCGTCGGCTGAAGTACGGACCTGAGATGTGCGAACGAAGTGCGGTCTCTAGTAATCAGTGTCTATACTACTCTCTACCCTTTGCTAAAAAGTAAATTTATAAAAGTAAATTATATTGTCTCCAATATACCAGGAAAGGAAACATTTTGAAATTTATTAATTACTAGGCGTGATTTTATTGTTGGAAAGTCTTGGGAATGAATATAAGAGGCGTCTCATCTCGTGGGTCATGAAAAAAGTATACCGTCATTATTTTTTATCAACAAATAGGTAAAAAATTCGTCATTTTTCGTTCTACGCGTTGTAAAAAAAATATTAATCTTAGCAAAAAATGTTCAACAGACAATTTGATCTAGAGAAACTCATCTTTAAAATGAGACTTTATAAGTTAAAATTGCTTTATAAACAAAAAATTTATTGCAAAATTAAACAGAAAAAGTTCTTTTTCTTTAATTGTTAATAACTTTTTAAATAATTAATAAAGTCTTACCAAACTTTCCCAAAATGTGAGTTTTTATATCCTTAAGAGATTTGCAAAAGATGGGCTCGATCGGTCAAATAGTTTTTGCAAAATTCCATTTATTTATCTCATTTTTGCAAAAACCCATTTTCAAATGTCTATTCCGGGGGCAGAGTTATGACTAAACATTCTTTTAGGGCTCATTTTCTTCAAAGGGACATTGATGTCCCTTCCGCTAGTTAAAAATTAAATTTAGTTGTATATAATTGTTAACAAATAAAAGGCACTTTTTTCCCTAATAAACAAATAAAATAACTCCATGGTTTTTAATTTTTTTTTAACTAGAGGATACTTGGTATCCTCTTCGAAGAAAATGAGCTCAAAAAGAATGTTTTAGTCATAACCCTGCCCCCTCATTTGAAAATGAGCCTTTTTTGCAAAAATGGGATAAATAAATGGAATTTTGCAAAAAATATTTGACCGATCGAGCTCATTTTTTGCACATCTCTTAAGGATATAAAAACTCATATTTTGGGAAAGTTTGGTAAGATTTTATTAATTATTTAAAAAGTTATTAATAATTAAAGAAAAAGCACTTTCCGTTTAATTATGCAATAAATTTTTTGTTTAAAGCAATTTTAACTTGTAAAGTCTCATTTTAAAGATGAGTTTCTCTAGATCAAATCGTCTGTTGAACTTTTTTTTTTACAATAACAGGTAGAACGAAAAATTATGAATTTTTGACCTATTTGTTGATAAAAAATAATGACGCTATACTTTTTTCATGACCCACGAGATGAGACACCTCTTGTATTATCATTCCCAAGACTTTCAACAATAAAATCACTCTGTAATTTTCACAATTTCTTGATGATTTTTCACCTTTATTTCTTGGTCTACAATGTTTTAACCAATTCATTGAAGCTGGGCACATTTATCATAATTTGTATATTGATTGTACCGTACCAATATAACTTGGTGAATTTCTTGATCAATTTATTTATCTTTCAGCTGCCAGTTTATTGTAAACCACTCGGGTGATTACAAGCAGTACTTGAACAATCCAGATGCCTTAGTTGACTGGGATCTAGTTGAACAAGTAGTAAGTAAAACATTTTTTTTTTTGGAAATATTCCTTTAACAAAACAGTTTACCATAGTAGTTATAGACATTTAAAAAAAATTTTAAACTGCTGCTTTCGTTCACATTAAAACAGTTATATATTTTCTTTAAAAGGCATAGGTATTAAATATATTTTCTAATGTTTTCAATATCAGTATTTTTCCAAAGTGTTGAGTACACATTTCCGAGTTGGTTGGTTCTGTGAAATTTTAACTTTGGAAAAATAAAGCATAATTTTTTTAAAATGAAAATTATATCCCATATAATTTTCAAAAGAAAATATGTGCCACATATAGTTACCTACACATCTGCCTAATATTTCGTTGTACAGTTATTAATTTTGAATTTTTGAGTTTTTTGCCAAAAATATTTTTTTATAACTTATCTTTTACAGAACGTTCAAGTTTCTGAATTTCCATCATGCCCTATTTGTCTTTATCCACCAACGGCAGCCAAAATGACCCGTTGCGGGCATATCTATTGTTGGTCCTGCGTCTTGCACTATCTGTCGTTGTCGGACAAACCGTCACGGAAGTGTCCGATCTGCTACGAGACTGTCCACCAAAACGACCTCAAAAGGTATTTCATTATCCCCTATTCAATCCGTATCTAAAAAATTTGTTTTATCGTGCAGTGTCGTCGCTATTCCTCATTCGATCTTCAACGTAAACGAGACAATAACTTTTAAATTGATGAAGAGGCCGAGGGGTGGCCTCACGGCGTACCCCGCCGATGTGATGGTGAAGGACGATGATGTTATATTCAACATGTCGGAGAGAGAGGCCGGTGAGGTGTATTCGAAATTGTTATTAGCCAATTATGAGGACATTTTGTCAATTATCGCAAGGGAATGCAGGGAGTTGAAGACACAGATCGCCGACGATGAGAATTACCCTGAGAAATGCTTTATCGAGCAGGCTATGGCATTATTAAAGGAAAGAGAAACTAAAGTTTTGGGAAAAATCGACAGCGGTAATGGGATTGATAAAAGAATCGCTAGTAACGATTGTAAAGAAAGCAATGTATTTGACGATGAAGTTGTTGAGGTCGGAAATTTGGTAGACAGTCTAAACATATCACAAAACGCTAACCAGCAGTTGAAGTTCCACTATTTCTATCAAGGTTAGTAAAAACTTATTTTGATGGTTTTTGCAGTGTTGTATTTATAAATATTTGGCAATAATTATGTATTTCTCAAACATTCGTAGAATATTTTTAAATTCTAGTGACGGTATCTGTCCTTTTTTATTATATTCATAAACCAAACTTTACTTGCTTTTGTTATAACTGCATGTCCACGTACTGAATTAAAAACAGTTTGATTAAAATTTACCTTATTTTTTCTTGTACTTGGGACCAAACTGATTTTGATTTTTTTTTAAGTAAAAAACCTTTTTTCATCATGTTTTCTATTTAAATTATCCATTTTTATGATCTTAATTAAATAAGCTACAAAATTTAATATCGAGAAAGGTGGAGTAAAATTTTAATCAACCCCGCGCAGATTATGAAAGATTGTTGTGGAATGTTCTCTGCAATATTGGAAAAAGTTCTTGGTAATTTTGGGAAATGGCTTGTATGTTTATAAAAAGGAAGAAATTTAAACTTTATGAAAGGAAAAGATTTTTAAATATGTTTATACAAATTTTCCATTTAGCATCAGATGGTCAACATATCTATTTACATGCCATTAACGCCAGGATGTTAGAACACACTTATGGGTCTCTAGAATTTGGACCGACGACAATTACTGGTAGAATTCTTGAGAAAGAAGGCGGTTCTATGACGGAAGAGCTTCGAAAGAGGTTGAGATACTTGCAACACTTGCCCGTTACTTGCCAGTTTGAAGTGGCGGAGATTCAACTCAGGCAACCGGTTATCAAGAAAGAAACCATAGAACATTTCCAAGGTAAATAAAATTAATCGGTCCATAAAAATTTCTTAATTTTCATATTTAATTTCATTTGTTGCAGAGCAAATAGAGTTACGTCGCAAGAAACGTCAGCGTAGGGCAAAGGAGGAGAAGCGCAGGGAGAAACGCATCGAGGCTGAAGAGAACAGGAAGATGGGCAAATATCCCGTTCCAAATTTACACCTCGAATCCAATGATCAATTTCCAGAGTTTGGCTTTGAAGCCAGGCTACGAACTGAATCAGAGTCCACCCTACCAAGCGACCGCAGTTCTTCGCCTGATTTGCTGAACTCTTCAAGCGTATCAGTGGAAAGCACTTATTCCGGTCCATCTTTCGCCACAGTGAGTATTTATGAATGATTTTTCTTTTGATGTAGCCAATTCGCACTAAATTTTATTGTTAAAACGAATCTAGGTGTCGTTTTAACAGTTTTTGGTGCTAGAGTAAAGTGAGGTTAATTAACCTTGTCTGATGTACGTCTTTCAAGGTCAGTCCCCTCTACGACATCTCTGTACACTATCAAACTTCCATTAAAATTATATACTGTCGCATATCCCACTTCTGATATTGATTTTCGAGTTGTAATGACAACTGCTTTGCTACAATTTCATTGTATTTCACAAATATGTCTTAATTTTGTAGATGTTAGCTACTCAAAAGAAACAGCCCCCAATATGGCCAATTTTGAAGCCATCTTCGAGTGCTTTGGAGCCAGTGAAGTTGATAAACGTTACAGGTTCGAAGATGAAAGTTGGGAATAATGCACAAACCAAAAATGACAGTGACGTGGAGCTGGAAGGCTATGAACCCGTTCCGGCTTATAATAGGAGTTTCAGTGATGCCATTACACAGGCACTTCAGATGGTCGAGGAAAAGGTGGAAGATGATGGTATGTTATTTATTGTGAAATTCAGACATTCATTCATTCTTTAGATTGAATCGTTTATTAATCCCACTTCTGATATCAATTGAGACCTATAATTTTAGATATTCCAGCATCAGGAAAGAAAAAGAAGAAGAGGAATAAACAAAAGCTGCTATTTACTACCAACATGGCTTTTTCTGGAAACTAATGTAAAGTTTTATTTTAAAAATGTACTTTACGGCAGGCATACATTTAGTGATAGTATAACTTAATGAAGAAAAAAATAATAAATAAAAAAAAATGCGTTATTCTGAATATAATAAATTATTTAACAGGTTTTTAAAATCATGTAAAATCTGGTACCATTCATTTTTTTCGTTATGGAAAGTAAACATTTTGCTTGAGTGAGTGTTTTATTTAAAAAAAGCCTATTTTACGGCAGTTATAGACTATTGAATAGAGGATTTTAAAAGGAACTTATTTATTGTATGAATCGTTCAAATGGTCATTTTAGATGAAAAAACCGCGGAGTGCTATTAAATTAGAGGGTGGAAATTTGAGATAAGGGTGAAAATGCACCCCTTTCAGTTTTTTAATTCTAGCTCGAAAACGAAGCAAAATTTCGCTATAGTTCATAGGAAAAATTATTTAGAGAATTGAATTTCCCATCAAAACAGCTTATTTAAAAAAATTAAAGGGAAAATTTTATGCAAAAAATAAACAATTTAAAAAAAAGTAAAAGATTTTTTGATTTACTTTTTTAATATAATAATTTAGTAAAAACTTGAAAATTTAAATACAATAAAGTTTATTAATAATGTATATACAGTGTGTCCACAGATGGAGTTGACAAAAGGAGAAACTCTTGTTTTTGACCTTATCGAAAAATGTCACTAAAAAGTTCTGCCCCTCGAAAAAATGAGACTGATCTTAGATTAGATGTACAGGGTGCTCATAAATTAAAAAACACGAAAATACTGGAGAGAGAAAAGTACCATTATTTATTGTTTTACACAACATTTTTATAAAACAAATCTCAAATAATGTCCTAATACAAATTTTAATTTTTGAGGTGGAAAGTAGCAATACATATAGAGTGAGTCAGAATTGAAATTTTGATTTTAAAATTTGTATTAGGACATTATTTGAGGTTATAAACAGATTTGTTTTATAAAAATGTGTAAAATAATTGTACTTCTCTCTTGAGTATTTTCGTTTTTTTTTTTAATTTATGAGCACCCTGTATATCTAATCTAAGATGTTTTTATAAGTCTCATTTTTTCGAGGGGCAGAACTTTTTATAAAGAGTGACATTTTACGATAAAGCCAAAAAAGAGTTTCTCCTCTTGTCAACTCCATCCGTGGACACACTGTATATACATTATTAATAAACTTTATTGTACTTAAATTTTTAAGTTTTTACTAAATTATTTTATTAAAAAAGTAAAAAAATCAAAAAATCTTATTTTTTGCTTTTTTTAAAATTGTTTATTAACGATTTTTTGCATAAAATTTTCGTTTTACATTTTTTAAATAAGCCATTTCGATGAGAAATTCAATTCTCTACAAAATTTTCCCTATGAACTATACCAAAATTTTGCCTCGTTTTCATGCTATATTTAAAAAACTGCAAAAGTGCATTTTCACCCCTCTCTTTAATTTCAACCCTCTAATTTAATAGCAACCCGCGGTTTTTTCATTTTTAATGACCCTTCGAACAAGTCATGTGATGAAAATCCTAGAACGTCTTATTTCCTTCCTTTTTTGCAAAAAATGATTTAAAACGTATAAGGGTAAATGCAACCATGGCTGGTTTGAGTGGTCATATATCGATGAATTTTCATCCAAAAATACTTTACAAACTCTTATTTTGAAGGAAATTTTATCTACTTTTTTTTTCTGTGAAGCAATGCCTATACCTATCTTTACTCAAAAAAAAAACTAGAGGCAAAAAAATCGGAAAATCGAATTTTTTTTTTTTCAAATTGTTTATTAACGACTTTTTTGCATAAAATTTTCTTTTTAAATGTTTTAAATAAGCAATTTCCATGGGAAATTCAATTCTGTAAATAATTTTTTCTATGAACTTTAGCGAAATTTTGCTTTGTTTTCGAGCTACTATTAAAAAACTGAAAGGGAGCATTTTCACCCCTATCTCCAATTTTCACCCTCTAATTTAATAGCACTTTGCGCCAATAAGATTGCTTGAACGTCATAGTTCCTTTTAACCCTGTTTTTTTGGATATATTCAATAGTCTATTAGGGAGTGATTCGAAACTATCAGAGATATTTGACCAATTAATTGATCTGTGACCTTAGACTTGCTGAAAGTACATGATGACTTAAGAGGTGGAGGTATGCCTAATAGTTTGGAAATAGTTCGACTTGTGGAAACAAGCCTTATACAGGGTGTTTATTAAACACTAGGACAAACTTTAAAGGGTGAATCTGACTAATTTTAAGATAAAAAGTTCATAGAACATGGGTCCACAACGGCATTTTTCTCCGTCCAAAAAAAAGTTTTGTTTGGTATTTTGTTTATATTTTTATTTAATATTGTGGCAATTTGACAAAATTTGGAAAACTAGGAGTATTGATGAGAAACTCAAAATATTTATTTCATTTTTTGTTTAATGTTAGAGGGCGCCACATACATGTTTGTCTTTTTTGGACTAAACAGGTACCTATTCTCCATTCAATTTTACATAAAAAGGTACGCTCAATAGCAGATAGGCAACCAGCAATACATTTTTATAGATTTTATTACACAGTTTGTCTAAATATGAATTAATGCACAAATAACAGACTTTTCCTCATTTTAACACAGATTTTCTATAAAATATATTTATAGTTTGTAACTCGAATTACTTTTTGTTGTAAAAAAATTTGTAATTTGCCGCTTTTGAACACGCAGCATCCTAATAAAAATAAATAAAATAAAGCAGTTACATTCATCATACTTTTTCTGCCCTTGACCCACCTGGTGCCCTGTTATCACCACATCAGATGGATTGATATTGTGTAGTTCACCCAAACTAGGTCAATGTTAGAAGTCATTGACTTTGCAATTACAAACTAAACACGATACAATTCGGCTTGTTTGCATAAATAATAAAATAATGAATAAATAAATGCATATTTATGTAAATAATTCTGTTTGAGTGCATTTAAAGGTAGTAGGCAATATACCATGGGTTTTACCCATTTCCATTTTCTCTCCTGATTGTACCTAAGTTTAAGTTACCATCACTCGACCCCCTAACTTTTAGAATTTCTTAAGGCAGGTATCCAGGGGCTAGTGTAGATGGAAAATTGTTGCGAGGTATGTGTAACAAATTTGACGCACGTAACTAATCTAGAACGAACCATCAGTTGTCGGTTTTTAGTCGTCGCATCAAAGGGATGCAACAGTACTTTCTGCCTCATGTTGAGACGGGGTTACTCTTTTGGCCGTAACGTTACCTATTGCATATGTGATTATATCTTAAATTTCAAATAATATGGTATAACTGACTTATCTGCATGTAGTTTTTAAGAGTTGCCTCACATCGGAAACGATTCGATAGAAATTTGAAATAAATATTGTAGGCTCGCATATGAATCTCCAGTAGCCAAATAACGCAATGTTACTGTTGATCTTTCCTGCACAGGAATTGCTTCACGGAATTTTGTGTCCTTCCTGGAAATCGATGGACCAATTGAATTTATTAAAAATTCAAAATCAGTCGGGTGCATTCTGACGAAATTTTTGTACAGTCCACTTATATGTTGGAATTTTAAATCTGCCAACAAACTTGATCCACTATATATCGTCCTACTCTGATACAGTTTTGAGATCCACCATCGCGGAGATTTCTGTTTCTTATTCTTCAAAATTGTATGATGAATAAAAACATATGATATTGCTGCTAACTGCAATTGCAGTGACGAATCCATTATTGCAGTCAGGTTCATACTGCGAGTTTATGTTCCTGTGTCGTCTTGTAACCTTATTTTGTTACATTACGGACTGAATGACACGACCAAAGTCCAAAACCACACATACTTTCGCAGTGAATCCTGTCACCTTTTGCAACAGGCCGTGACATGTTCGTTGTTACGTTACGGAACATTGCCACAAGTGGATACCCGCCTTTATATTTTGTATATCTTATCGACCAAATGAAGTTGATTGAGCTGTACTTTAACCAAATAATTTAAATTAAAAACTCGAAATGATTTTAAAGATCCTTTAAATCTTTACCATTAGTATTTTTATTTTATTTATTTTTGTTATGCACATTTTACAAAAGGGCAAAAATAATTTTTATTTGTTTTTGTTATGCACATTTTACAAATGGGTAAAAATAATTTTAAAACAAATTAGTTTTACTTATAATTAGTAATGTATGCATATTCACACACCAATATTAGTTCATAATAAATTCTATAAAAAATATTAATTTTTTAAAGAACGGTTGAACAAATTTTTGATTTCAACAGAAATGCTGGTAACCTGTCACAATCATATGAAAGCAATCTGTACGAAATTATTTTCCATTCCAGTTTTGCTTTCTGCTACTCAGTTTCACATAATAGGTTTAAGAACCGAATTTGGGTGTTGACTATTGATAGCGTAGACAAAAGTTTAAAACGTAAATTATAACTCGACTATTTATTTCATTAAAAAAAATCAGATTAGTATTTTGAGGAATATGTAAAAATTTAACATTACACCAGTGGCAGAGATAATATGATAAAAAAGTAGTACTGCGATGTAGGTAACAAGTAAAATCAATTCAAATTTTCCATAAAACAACTTGAAAATAAGTGATATTTTTTTGTCTATTGCAGTTTTATGGCTAATTAGTTTTTTTTTTTGCATTACAAATACAAAGCCACATGCAATTCTTGTTTGAATCACTTTTGAAAATTGTGTTAGCCGTAGAAAATTGAAATTAAGTTAAGAAAAAATATATTTTTATAAAAATTATATGAAAAGCCTCATTTATTTTTAAAAATCCCTTCTCCCGAATCCAATGTTAAATTTGGCTCACCCTGTGTATCTGCTTCAATCGAAATGATTTTTGTGTAAAAAAAATAAAAATAAAAAAGTAAAATATGAAATAAGATATATATGTACTGAGATTATAAATTACACAGCATAGATAACAATATAAAACCATTTATCAAAATATAGGTACATAATTGCAAGAATATATGTACACCTTAAATTAAAAATATTACACAATCCCATTGACTGTTAAACATCTAGATATGATAAAAATCGTTAGATCCTAATAATATTAAATACGAATGGAGAGAAAAATTACATCCTTTTAAAATAACGCTTGGCTTCAATCCCACTTGTTTCATGTTTGTAAATCTAAAAGGAAAGTTGTTTAAATATGCATCCAGCTACTTTAAGTAATACAAAATATTCCAGATAATTAATTTACTTACTATGACACATCCATCATCAGAAAATTCATAAATGCGAGATATATTTGTATTATTGGGGCCAACTGACTTTGTAATCAACTTATCTCCTTCCAAAATTGTATTATTCTGTAAGACAATATAGTATATATTTTTTTTGTTACAAATACATATTAAAAATTTAAGTTTAAATATATATTAAATTATCAAATATATGTATGTAAACAAAACTATCAAATTAACCATTTTAAGATTGAACTGATGTCTTTTTTTTCTTTAAAGTAACAAATACAAACCTTCAAAATTCCACCTGGCATGCTTTCTTCATATTCTTCACCAAGTTTAAACTTGTTAACTGTAGTCTTCATGAGGGTGGCAATAGTAACGTTCCATTCTTCACCATTCTTGCTAATTTCCAAAGATGGACTCGAAGAACACATCATTTTTCTAGGAATGTATGGGACACCTGTAGAATAAAAGTTTTGCGAATTTCCTCATTCAAAAAACAACTGAAACTTACCTAGTGCTTTAAAGTATTCGTCAAGGTTTTCATTTTTCTGGTGAGTATATTTTCCTTCAAACTGCACCATTTTGGGCACCTATTAATGAAAATTAATATGGTATAGTAAAAGTGGAATGTAATCCAAGTTACGTGACTGTTTATCAAATTTACTGATAAGTGACTGATTTACAACCAGTTTTAATAGATACTGTTTTCAAAATTGCCGCTTTGGTATCCACAATTTTCTTCTTCTTCTTCTTTCTGGGTCAATCATGGTAAATCTAGGATTTCATTATTTTTAAGAAGTTTAAAATTTTGTAGTTTATAAGGTCAATGACTGTGTAAGAATGAAATTTAAACTTAACCTCACAAATGAACATGTTTATGTAATTTAATTTTTATTGATTCCATTTTAATTGCACTAAAATCATGGCAGGTCCTAAGGATAACGTTGAGGAAGATAAGGGTGAAAAGCTTACATACGTAAAAGATGATTGGATGGTATAAACACAACATTTTATTTGAAAATTTGTTATTTTAAAAGTACTTTTGTAGATAAGACGTTGTACGGTGTATGACGAAGAGTATAGCGATTGTACATCTATCAGAGCAAGATTTAATCAATATTTTATTTATGGAAAAACATTAGATTGCAGCCAGTGGAAAAAAGATTCCCTAAATTGTTACAAGTGGACTGAAAACTACGACATAAAAGCTGCTGTAAGGTATCGATCGAATATTTCCTTATATAATTTGTGTCATTAATTTTTCAGGAAGAGTTAATAGAGAGTGAAAAACAGCGTAGAAGAGAAAGGTTGCTTCCACACTATCAAAATGATATTTGGGTAAAGCGAAAAACACCTCCGGAAAATTGGGACAAGCCATTACCGGAATTTTTGCAAAAGGGATATGAAAACACATATTTGAACATAAAGGCAAAAGAATTGAGAGGAGATATACCACCATCGTTTGACACTAATATTAAATTTTGTACTATTTTATGATGAATATTGTAATTTTAAAATATTCATGTTATAGTCACTTTTTGTTTATTTAACTGTAAAATATAGTTGATTATTAAAAAGGCAGGTTAGTTTAAAATACATTTATCTTATTTATATTACCTACATTAAATAATAGTTTTGATTATTTATATGTGCTGCAAATTTAGTGTCCGTGTTAAAACAGATAAAGACTTAACAATCACTTAATAGTGTCAATACTTTTAAATTTTGCTATGGCCGAACCAATTTCATACAAAATGTCCTTAGTATTTGTTACTTCTATGTTTACGATTTTTGCACATTCTGTTATGTAAAATTCGAGATCTTTATCCTCTTTTTCCTCCCCAGAGGTCCCATTCATCATATACTTATTAGTGAATTGAGCTAAATTTGAAAATACTGAACTGAATGCATCATCCAAATCAAATAATTCTAGAGCTGGTGGTGACAGATCTCGAAATGAAGGTGGGAAAACTGCCGGTTGCAATGGAGGATATGGTGCTTCAAATTTAGGAGTAATTATCTTCAAAGCCTGGTGTTTCACACCTAGTTCATCATATAACTTCAAAGCTTCGGGGACATAGTTAGTGTTCATTGAATACATCTTGTGATCGAACAACTGTGTATAGTCAATGAAAGCAGTTTGGCTGATAGCATCTGTTAAACATAGCTTAGGTCTTTCGGCTAATTCTGCTGTTTCAGGGACAATATGGTGGTCTATTAAATCAATATCGTCATGATCTGAAGGAGCAAAGTGTACACGTTCTTGACTAATTAGGAATTCCATCAGCATTTCCCTCAGTTTATCGTTATTTTCTTGGTCAATGTATTTATCTGAGAACAAGTAGCCAGAACCAATTGCAGCTAATCGACCATTACTTTTGTCATCGTAGTACAGAGCTCCTAGCGGTCTATCAACAGGAAAAGATGCTGATCCACTAGTAAATGCAACCACACTAGGTTTATTTACACTCATCGTACAACCAAATGGATACACAAGTTGTATATTGATTTTTTCTTTGTTTAATGAGGAATTTATCTGACTATCCGCAATAAAACATTCTTTTGGGTGAAAATATTTATAGTAATGGGTACGAATCAAGCTGTCGATGTTTGGTATGATTCCAAATATCTCCAGGAGGATATTAATATTGCAAGTATCACTTGGGTTGCCCTCTGTTAAGAAAATTAAAATTCGTCCTCCACTGTTTATAAAGTTCTTCAGGGTGTTTATCTCGTTTTCTTCAAAGGGCATCTGTGATCCAGGTAACACTATAAGTGAACAGTTTTGCAAAATCTGAGGTGTTATCTCCTCTTTGTTTATCAATACCTTCGAGTACAGTTTCAGTTTTCTTTGAAAGATCTTGTAATTTTCATTCAGTTTGAACACTTCTTGTTTTGAGGCATTGACAATTATCGTATTTTTATTTTCGGCTGCGATCTCTTCTAAAGGGGGCATTTTAAAAGAACCTAGTACAATTTCTAATGAATTGACCAATTATATGTTTGCATCACAAGTTTACATTTGCATTTAGAGTTGCCTAGCAATGGAGTGTAACTATGGTGATAGAGTTTAGATTGCATTTAAAAAAGGCGGAAAATGAATAATTATTAACTAAATCGGTACTACTAGCAGTAATTGTATTGGCTCCTCAAGTAACTGTTTATTTTTTAATTTTATAAAATAATGTTAATTGGAAGCACCTCATTAGCGTTATTTCAAAGCAGTTTTTACAATTTCTATCAAAATGTTAAGATTCAAACATAGATAGGTTAATAATAAATAAATTAATTAATATTTCCTGGTATTTTACCTTATTTTGTAGAAAACCAGATGTAAAGTAAACACACTTACAGTGTCAACATTTAGAACATTTTGATATGTATATGTATATGTATAATATGCAATTCCCAAAGTATGGATTCTGCGCGGCTTTGAAATCATTGTTTTAGTGCCGCTGGATTATACCCAGTATAGTGTATGGAATAGGAATAGTGCGAGTTTCGCGACGAAAGAGTTGTGTTTATAAAGTTGGCATCGGCCGCTATTCGCAATTTCGATATTTCATTTCCATAGAATTAAACTTCACTTGTCATTACAGTGTACCAGGTTGACTGAGAGAAGTTCTAATAATTTTATGAATGGTTTCTTTACCTTGGAAAGAAATAATAAATAAAAGCACCGCCAGTATTACGCTACCGATAAAAAAGTCCTCACTATCAAAGTACAAATACACATATCAGCACTGTAAACATCGATTTGTGTGTCGTAAAAAGTGTTCTCTTTTATACAACAATACTGTGATAAGTTTTAATAACTGTGACTATGGCTAATAAAGACGACTATTTGACTTATTATCGCGAGTTTTTTGAAAATTTTGCTCAAACCGTTAACCCAAATGATCAGCTACCTGTTAAATTGGCCAGTTATAAATTGGTTAATATTGAAGTAGTCGGAGGAATTATAGATTGGACCACTCAGTATTTAACGCAAAAGTAAGTAAACAATTTCATTTAAAGTTAGACGACTTATTCTAGCTGTTGCAATGTTTTTTTTTGTAAATCACGCCACAGGTACTACTGTTACGTGAAGATTACATGACAAGTAGGTACCGACAAAATAAAAACAAAGTCAACGCTGTTATAAGACTTCAAGCTTACTTTATCATTTGCATAATTGTGCAAATAGAAACTAAATGTCCAATTAATGCAATAAAATATCGGCATTGCATTTCTTAAAATTCATTTACGATGCGTTATATAGTTTTCCTGAAGAGTACAGTTAACTCTTAAATGCCGGTTTATTAACGCCTTTAATAGTGCGTAGGTAGTAATAAAATTATAAATTGTATGTACGTGTATAATTGAATAATTCATTTTGCCTGATTAGTCACTGGAACCGTTTGATTAATGACTCGTCTAATCGGTTATTAATGTACCTAACTGGTATTATTTATTTGTAGTGGGCACGCCCACCGATGGCAAATTTGCACCTTTAGGGACTCCTTATCATTTTATTTGAACTAATCAGTTATATGGCGCTATTACCTCGAATATATTGACTACTGACAAAGTGACTAAGCGGTAATACCGAAAAGGAAAGCATGGAATCAAATACGTAGTCTCCCCCAAGTTCTCATTTCATTTTCTTTTGAACATATTTTTCTTTCACGTTTGTGATTTGGCTGTGTCTACCTAAATTGTTCCCAATATTATGCAGATCTAATCTTGTATTACGCACCAATTATTAGTAAAGAAACACAAGTAGATATACGAGTAAGTATAATATTACTCATTGTAGGAAAACCGCTGATTGCTCAGTAATGAAAACTTAATACAAGAAATGGTGCAATGATTCCTTTGCATGTTACGTAATCCTTACCTAATATATTGTTTATGGTAGGTACCTGAGGTGGTACCGCCGGTAGCAACAACGAAACATTGGCTTGACCTAGATTAGCATCTGTGCTTATGTCGAAATTCGGGGTTTGTTTATAGTTCAACAACCGGCAAAACAATATGGGATTTCATTTGGGTGTCATATGGATATTTTTACTCCCTATTACGATTAAAGAATGGGTTGTGGTAAGAATATCTGTTGATTTTGTTTATAATTGACAGATGTTCAGGAATAATAAAAATTATGTATTCTATGCTTTGCTTTTTGATGAACTGCACTGGTGTTAATACCATTGGTTTAATGATATTATTGATTTGCCAATATTATTACGTTCATTAAAATATAAGTTTGACCATTCAAAACATAATTTTTATTTACGAAAACTATGTGGTCTGCTATTTTTAAACATCTGGAACCAACTTAAAAAATTATTTTGAAGTTCACAATCTAAAAAACATGAGGTAGATGAAAACATCTAATAAATATTGTGTTAAATATAGGCTGCTGTCAGAATATAGTCCTCTATATTTATAATATAAGATGATAAAATTATTTATCAGGAACCTGACCATAAATTACAGAGAATGCTTAATTTTTATCAGCAAAGTTTGCTGAGAAGCACGTACTTAAATCAGGTTTCTTATACAATAGAGTAGGTATGTTATTTTGTTCAAATATAAATATAAAATTTAAATAAAAAATATTGAAAAGCATATACAGAGTAAGTAGGTAACTCAATTTCAAACCTGAAAATCAATTTCAGCCGGACTTTTAAAAGCTAGGACATCAAAAATTGTACTTTTGAATAAAGGGTCATATTTTGTTTCTGCTAATTAGGCGGGAGGAGGGAGGCAAAAATTCAAGAAATCGTATTAGAGATTTTTTTTTATATAAAATTGGAATACGGGGTGTACTATGTACTCATCATCCTCTTAGGTGGATATGGATATGTACCCATTTTCATAAAAAATACGAAATTTTAAATATATTTATTCTTTGAGTCAAATGGAATAAACATCAGAAAACAGATAAAAAAATTAATTCTTATAATATTACTCATTGTCAGCATTGAGAACAAAATTACACAAATGATTTTACAGAAATGACATGGAACCAGTGAATAAATAAATACAACTTTTGTCAGACTATTCAAAATTAATATAGGTCACTTTGTATATCATATCAAAAATTAAAAAATTTAAATGTATATCAAGTTTGCCCGGGCATTTAGGTCTTTGTATCAAAGTGTACCTGCATAATATGTAAATATGCTACTGTTTTTAACAACTTTCTAGGAATACTACTCGTATGAAATTATATTGCAGTGCAAATTCTGATTTACGAGACATGCAGCAAATGTATAATACATACGCTTGTTTGTCCCTTGCTAATGTGATTTAAATCCTACTTTAATTTCGTTTAACACATTGGTATTTGAAACGTTTACATAAACCATTTACTGGGCTATTATCATCCTATGCAATGTAAACTTAGCAGATAATAAACAAATAAAAGTATCACTTCCCAAAATGTGACCTTGGCCATAAAAAATAGTTTGTCGTTTATGACTGAATATAAGATATTTTAAAGGAAATGTAATAATTACTACTTGTATTAGGTCAATCAATCAATCAGTAATTTACTTTACTTTCTAAATAAATATCTTTAAAAATATTATCTGCAAATATCGACGTTAAGCCAATAATAATTTAATTAATAAATCGCGCTGTTAATCCTAGTCTTACAGGTTTGCTCCATACTCCATATGGATTAAGCTTGGGATTAAGTAATTAGATAACTTGAGCTTTTAACAAATTACCAAGTTTTTTTTATCAGGCACGGCATATACTATTAACGCATTTCATATTTATCAGATATTTTTAATATATGTTTTAGTATATAGGCAGAGGACGTGTCTTTTTATTTTCAATCTTACATCAATTTTACATTTTTTGTTTACTCATTTGCGAGTCTCCCCTGTATTTTGCCAGTGTGCAGAATCCGTCGCCCCGGGATTTCATTGACTCGACCGTGTGACGCCTGCGCACTGAATGCTCACTTGGTCGTTTTGCTTTGCTTGTGTTCTCCCGAAGCCGGTTGTCAATAAAGTTCATAATTTGTACAAATAATTGCAATAAAGATAACTTATCTTTTTGTTGTTATCACTTGCTGGGTAAGTAAATATGCCAACTTCAAAAAAACAGATTTTTTAACGTTTTGGTGAGACTTGGAAGAAGAATTTATTTGCAACATAACCTATTGTGACGTTTTTTACAGATCTCTTATGGGCTTAAAATGAACTGGGGAGAGTGGAGGCCTCAGGAAAGCATCCTTAAGAACATTGAGGAAACTTTACAATTAGCCCTTGTGCCAAACAGTGAGGCCCAAAAAACAGTACAAGACAGGCTTAATGTAATGCAAAATCTGACAGATTTTTCCAATTACCTCTTATTCATACTAGGAAGTTCTTCATATTCAGAAGATATAAGATCTCTTAGTGGGATTCTGCTCAAAAACAATATTTTGTTAGTCTATAATAGTTTTAACCAAGAAGATTGTGCAAAAATTAAAAATGAATGTCTGCGATTATTAAAAGATCCTTCTCGGGAAGTCCGCATGAGCATAAGTAATGTTATTGTTATTATTGCTAAAGACAATTTGAAGACTTGGCCTGAATTGATTCAATTCTTAGTTAAGACTTTTGTCATACAGGATGAATACAGTGAAATTGCTCTTACAACACTATTTAAAGTATGCGAAGAATTAATAACTAGCCAAAAACCTCAAGATGATATCTATAGGATAACCAAAGAAGTATTTCCAAAATTCGTAGAGTATGTAGCTATAGAAAAGTGTACAATGCGTCAAGATATCGTTCGACTTACAAATCAATTCCTACAGGACTATTTCCAGGTTATGAAGCAATCTATAGACTTGGGGGCTTATTTAAGGAATGTCATGCAGTTAGCTAATGTAGACGATGTGGATTTACAAAAACATATTTGCCATACATTTGTTATTTACGTAGAAAATCAAGAACAGACTTTATTGCCGCATTTGCACGATATCATTTGCTATTTGATGGAAAAATGCCATCACGAAGATCAGGATGTTGCCTTGCAAGCATGCGAGTTTTGGTTAGCCACCACGAAATTAAATACTTGCAGGGATATTTTGTCGCCTTACATTGAAAAACTCTTACCAATTCTTTTAAAAAACATGAAGTATTCATTGACGGAATTGAATATGATTAAGGATAGCCTAGGAGCAGATGCTAATAATAAGGATTTGTCTAAGGACATTTCCCCGTTCCACATGAAAGAAAGAAATGTTGGTGATGGCGAAGAGTACTTCAGCGATGAAGACTTTGAAGGATCCAATGATGACTTTGATGATTTTTATGTAGGTTGGACACTAAGAAAGTGTAGTGCTGCCTCTTTGGATTCCATCGCCTGCAAGTTTGGCGAAGAACTATTGCCACTTTTGATACCTCTCATAAGCGAAATGCTGCGTAATACAGACTATTTGGTGAAGGAATCTGCCATACTAGCCCTGGGTGCTATAGCCGAAGGCTGTATGTTAGGGTTGAAGTCTGAACTACCAGATTTAATACGATATTTGATCTGTTCTATGAGTGATGAGCATTCTGTTGTTCGAGTCATAACTTGCTGGACTCTAAGTCGGTACGTCGGTTGGATTGTTAGTGTTAGAGCTGACAATCCAGAAGAATTTTTCGTGCCTGTCATGACGATTTTACTGAAGCATTTCGTTGATGAAAATAAAAGAGTACAACGTGCAGCAATATCTGCTTTTTGCATATTTCAAGAGGAAGCGCAGCTGAAGCTTATTCCATACATCGATTTCATATTAGAGGGATTTAAATATGGTTTTGAGAGGTTTCACTGTAGGAGTTTGTATTTGCTATACGATGCTATTGGTGTTCTAGCCCAGTCTGTTGGAAATCACTTAAGCAAAGAGGAATACGTCAGCAAGTTATTGCCCCCACTGATGAATAAATTTACAGAACTTCACAACTTTTACGACGATCACTTTATAGCTGTTTTAGAATGTTTGTCTAATGTCATTCCCGCTTTAGAGGTGTCTTTTTTGCCATACTCGGAAACGGTTTACTTACATTGCTTGCAGTTGATCAATGACACATTAATCGCGTGTATAAATTATCAGCAGTACCCAAATGAATATGACCCGCCAGATAAGGAACCCATGAATGTAGCTCATGACGTTTTATACAGCATGGCTCTAGGATTAAAGACCCATTTTGTAAAGTATGTTACGAATAGTAATTTGATTTATTTGTTATACACGACAATGCAGGATGGGTCGAATTTAATTCGTCAGACGTCTATCGCTTTGTACGGGGAGTTGATTGGATTATGCTACCCCTTTTTGGCTTCGAACGTCAGCGAGTATATTCCTCTTATTATTAAGAATCTAGACGAACATACAGACGGAGTCTGCAATAATGCTGCTTGGGTTATAGGAAAATTGTGTTCGGTTATGGGAAGTAATATTCAACAGTTTCTTCCAGAAATCCTAAATGCTTTTGTGCACATCCTTCGTGCCCCAGCTATGGCACGAACCATGCATAAAACGGTGGCAATTTCGTTGTGCATCATATTTTTCGTGTGCCCAGACATTACAGTGCCTGAAATGGATGTGATAGTAAAAAACTGTTGCATGTTAATTAGAAACGTACGAGACTCTGACGAAAAAGACTTAGCTTTTCGAGGATTGTGCGAAATTATAATACGACATCCAGAGTTTAATAAGAACTATTTCATATTTTTCTGTGACGCGGCAGCTTCGTGGATAAACATCAGAGTGGATCTTAAAGAAATTATTAAGAATGTTTTGTTGTCCTTTAAACAGCAATGTGGGGATGAAAATTGGGCGCAGTTTTACTGCCAATTTCCCGAGGCATTAAAAATGAAGCTGCACGATCTGTACTGTGTGTGAATCGATGCAAATTCATAATTGGGGAACATACAAAATGGGTGGGAAAGCTTGAGTGCACCTGCCTTGAGTTTATCGCGTATTTTTCCGATTTCCGTCGCGAGGGAGGGGCGTTTTGCCAAAAAAAAAAACTTAGAGTCACGCGTTACAAAAAGAAGAGATCATTTTTTTGTTTCAGTTAAGAGTCAAAAGATCGTTTGCTAACATTTTAGAGATGTCGATCAAATTTTGTGTTTCCTTAACCGACCAATTCTCATGGATGTTTTTAAACATTTTCCATGTAAATCGATATAAAGGGGTATTATAATAATAAGTTTAGTTTGCATGATGAGTTTAATGTTTTTTGACACGTGCTTGCACACCTAAATCGTGTTTGTTCATCATTTTAAAAATTAACTGCTATGACTTATTGTAAAACCGTCAGGAAAAAAAATGTAAAATGAAATCAGAGTAACTGTATTTTTTTATTAGAAAGATTGTTTGATTTCAAAAATGCTGTGTTATATTTTGTATTTACTTGAAATAAATTTGTACTTGTATTTCTTAGTATTATTTTTCATTACGGAAATGTGTTTCTTAGGTCATATCTAACAGTGTATGTATATTCCAAAAAAAAATTCTCGCAGTTATTTGCTTTGAGTTAAATAAAGTCGTCAATGTTATACTCTGGAAAGAAATTACTTTAATGTCATTTAAAGGTCAACTTCAAATCACGTGGCAGGACGACATACGCATAGAATGTGTTTTTTTACTTTAGTTTTTTAAATATTTTTCATGCCAATTTAGTTTTAATTAATAAATTAATATGACATTGCCATCTAATTATAGTAAAAAATATTGGCTAAGTGGTGAAAAAATATTATATACAGGGTGTCACATAATGAATTATACATGGAGTAACAGGTGATTTTTGACGTCATAATTATGTGATCTGGCCGAACTTACCTTATTCCAAAAGCTGATAGTAACCGAGTTACAGGGTGTCAAAATCAAAATTTGATTTTCAATGTTTTTAAATAACCTTATAATTGATGTTTTTAAACAAAATTTGATATCCGTGGGTTTTTTGACATGAAAAATTAAAATATCCTCAGAATTTTGGTTTACATTCTAGAGGGCGCCCACTTATTACTTTGTCTCTTTGAACTTTTGTAGTTCACAAATTTTTTGCTATACACTACCTATCTTATTTTCTGATAGCAACATCTCTTTTTCCATCACTTTTACATAAAAAAAGTATACCTATATGTGATTTAAACTGTAGATGAACTTTATCTAAGTAGTCCTGCAATTAAAAAACGGAGACAATGAAAAATGCTTTCAAAACAAGTTTATGCCAAACTTGTAATTTAATTAGTGTTAGGTTTTCGATTACTGTTGAGTTTCTGCAGAGTTTTTCATTTATATTCATTTGACACCCTGTATCTCGGTTACTATCAACTTTTGCACTGAGATAAGTTTGGCCAGATCACATTATTATGTTGTCACAAATCGCCTCTTCCTCTATGTACAATTCGTTATGGGGCACTCTGTATATAAGCTTATTTTTTATTATAATACTGAGAAAATTATGAGCAATGAGAAGTTTCTTACGAGAAAAAAAAATTGAATATTAAACAAAGTTTTATTAAAATAAAACATTAAATATATCAAAAGTAAACGTAAATATACTTCAGGGATTTACTTAGTGATTTCACAAAAAAAACTTTTAAATTCTTGGTATAAATGCAAGATACAAGTGTACCAAATTTGGGGACAGATACTATTCTGACAAAAAAATACCAAATAGTATTTTAAATTGTAAAATAGTATTTTGTATACTGTACTTTGTATTTTGTAATTAAAATACTTTTGTTATAACCCCAAAAATATTTTGTATTTCAAATACTTAAGTATTTCGTAAGTATTTTGTATTTTAAAAAAGTATTTAAAAATCTTCTAAAAATAATTTAAATACACTTGAGTATTTGTAAATTACTCGAAGTATTTAAGTTACTCAAAATACCTACCAAGAACAAATACTTTTTGCCTGTTACGACTGGCAACTTGTACAGGTGCTAAAAAAAAAATACGCACCTGCACAGCTAGATTTAGTGCATTCTACTCTGCATTCTGCAATGTGCGCTTGTGTTATTGCAATTTTGTCTACTACGTTTTAGGTCACTATCATCAGTAGTCAATCATCAAAATTTAAAATTAATTTCTTTTATCATTAGTGGGCTATTCTAAGAAAAACTAATAAAAAATTATGTGGGAATTAAATATTCTGCATCTCAGTAATCCAAATAAAAACTACTGTTTCCAGACTTATGTCTAGTTTTTTTTTAATTTTTTGATCATCTTGAAATAGGGTTTGCCTTGAACATACAATATATTTTTTTAAATCACATCAGATTTAATATTTCACGAAAATATTTCATATACTGTGAAAATTTTCAGTATTTCTAATATTTAACATACTTAAAATACTATTTTAAATACTCAATAATTTATATTTAAAGTACTTTGCCAAAGAAGTATTGTGTTTTTAATTACCTATTTTAAAATACTTTCGTTCTAGTATTTTGTACTTTGTATTTTAAATACATTTTGAAAGTATTTTGCTCAGCTCTGTTTGGGGAAATGAAAAATATATTTTTAAGTGTTTGTGAATTTTTCTATTATTCATTAAAAATTAGTGGCATATTTTCCCCTTAGAGAATGCTTTACTGTTTATTAATTGTAGAAAATTTAGAATGTTCACAAATGATTTTCTTTATTTGCTCGTTTTCTTTGAATTATCAGATTTTCCTCCATATTTTTTGATATTTTCCTATGATATATCTTTGAATTGAACCTAAGAAATATTTTTTTTTTATTTTTTAGACAATGTCCGGCAAATCTTATTGGACCGCTCATAAAAATTGTAATAGAAGAAATAAGGAAAGCATGCAAGAAACAACCCATTTTATGTGGATTCAACCCATCAGACAATGGTAAGAAATCTACATGTAATTACTCCGAGCTTATACAAGAAATAGTTACACTATTTTCAGATTTTATCAGCGTGAAATTATACACTACAATTTGTAGACTGCAATGACTGTGTGTGTTTGAATGTATGCTTCTTGGAGAGGAAGTGGTTATCCGCAACTGGGTTCCTTTTTTCATTTTCAATTCACTACTACGACGAAAATTTACGTATGAGTTGTTTTTATTCTAATCGCGTGATTTTCCAAATAAAAAAATAATGCGTCCTTTTCTAAACTAATATCTTTCATAATTCTATTCATAAACATATGTATATATCTAGAACTTCCGGATGCCTTTTTTAATTTAAAAATAGACGAGACTCGACGTCTGGAAGTGTCTCGACAAAAAGCAACCACTTTGACTAGTTGAAAATAATATCGGGTTCGGTATTGTTCAGTTTTTCACGTTTCCAGTTACAAATTTTCTCGTCGCAGGTGTTTCAATTGTAATCTTAAATACAACATGCCCTGAAGATTGTTTTGTGTGTAACAAGGACGTGACAATTTCGTCTGCTGCTTATAATAATAGGTTTTGTATAATTATACTGTGGTCGTTGAGTTAGTCTTGCGTTTTACATACAAAAAAAAGTAAAACGGCGTGTGGTTCCGACTGGTACGTGTCGATAAGGGAAATCCATCCATTTACCTTAATAAGAATATTTAAGGTTTGCAGTTCGTGAGTAATGTATCTACCCGACAATCCTCATAATTACACATTTATTTATCTGGATGTCACAATTCCATTTGCGAAATAGAAACTGAATCAGCAGCGGAGTGTAAATATCCTAACATACATTTAAATGATTATTAGCTTTTTTGTGTTGAATTACGCACTTTCCTTATTTTCGTGCCGCGCTCAACCAGACGGATGCGGAAACATAGCCTGCTGCATAATAATTAATTATTGACTTCCGTTACAACGGAGAAAACGAGTGTGGGTCATTAAATGTATAGCAGTGATTTACTGTGATTTTCTGCGTAAAACGTGGCGAAAATCGTGAATGATATGAATGACTTGCACTAATTCTTTTATTCTATTCACAGGGAATTTACTTTATTGGACTTATTTCGCAGAAATCCAATTTTATCTGAAACATAACGTAATTTATTTTAAATACATGATACACGTTCGTATTTAATTTACCCTATACCTACCTCGGTGTTTTCAAAAAGCTTTATGCTATTTAAGGCAATTAACAATAAAGTGACAAATCGGCTGTAAAACATGACTAATAAATATTTTGATTAATAAATACAAACATTTCAAGAATGCCCATTTCCGGTTTACTTTCTTTATTTCCGTTTTTGAAAATAAAAAAATTAAGAATTTGTAGAAGGCGCTGAATTATTACGTTTCAAAACAGTTTACTCCAAATCCCAAGTGACAGTACAAATGACAATAAGCCTTGGCGTCATTCCTTAATTACTTGAATTGCCCATTTCATTTAAGAAAACCCTTACATTTTGGTATGATTAAACTTAATTTGTTAAAAAATAGGAGTTGAGAACTGGTACGAAATTGTTGAGTAACATGGTGAGTTATTATTATCAATCTACAAGTTTCTTTTGTAAATGAATTTAACTATGTGCACCTAAATATGTTACTGTTTCTTAGTATAAAATATAAAATAAAATGTTATATTTGTGTTAAGCTAAAATCGCCAAGTTCTTTATAATATATGCGTTTTGCGTACCTCCAATAAAGTAAGGTCAGAGACAAAGGAAAGTTCTGTATGAGTGAACAATGTCAATAAACTTTATTAAATTAAAAAATTAAGTAAAAGTTTAAACGGTAAAGAACACTTAGGCCAGGAAAAAGAGCTGGGAAATTACCATTTTGCGACTTTTTGTTTCGGCATGCTGAATTTATCACTATAGATGCTAAATATTATGTACAATAACATATTAGTTTCCACAGTCATAAAAATGAGGGGAAGATTGTTTACAGGGTGGTTAATTGTATAATTTTTACGTAAATTTACGTTTTTTGCTTATAACCTTTTTCCGTTCATTTTCACGAGAAAACAGTAAAGTACTTTTTTTCGTCTTCAAAAGACCTACAAACTAGCCCTTGAGCGTAAAGAAATATTGATTAGATCAAAAGTTATAAACAGAAGAAGTTTATTTATAACTTGAATCAAACATTTATAACTGCGTTATTATTACCAGAACGTTTTGGCATCGCATCCTCTCATTCCTTATCATTGTCTAATAACTCACACGAAATCTGGAATCGGTAAGTTGAATAGTTTACAAATTATGGCCTTATAAACAAATTAACTAATTATTAGTCTGGACGATCCCGAGCATCTTCCACAATCGCACTGATTTTTTTCATGTTAGATTTCATAATAATACATTGAAATCTATCATTTTTTTTTTTAATTTCAAAAGAGCAACCTGATATTTTTTATTTTTTATTTTTAGCCTTAGTTGTAAAATGAAATACACGACACACGTGCGTGATATAGTTATATATTATTACATATTCGGAAAGCTTATGCAAAGAACTTTAAGTTAAAAAAAATCGTCTAGATTCGTTGAAAAACAACGGAGTTATAGACTTAAATATATTATTTTCAAGCGAATTTCGCTATTTTAACGGCAGGACTAAGAATATTATCATCATTTTCTTCGGACTCGCTGTCGTTCGCTTCCCCCACCTTTCCGCCGCGCCACGACTCGCCGAAAAATCAAGCGACCCACTGACTGACTAACAATATTTCTTATGAATTTGTTGCCGTCAACTTTGATAGTCTGTAACTCCGTTGTTTTTCAACGAATCTTGGGTTCTTCTTCTGGGAATCTTTCAACGAAAATTAGAACATGCTTTAATTCGTCAAGAACTTGATGAATAAATTGATGAAGTTATTTGACAGCTGATTTGGTGTATTACACTTGTCCAATTTCTTGTCCAAGCGACTTCATCAATTAATTGATCAATAAATTGTCAATGTAAAACAGCTATAAAACATTTTTTTGTCATCATTAATTAATTTTTTAGTCATTATCTAAGGAATAATTTAAGAAAAAAATAGGTACCTAAATGCGGCACACGACTTGAAGTGCTAGTAGGTATTTCTGGTTCTGGGAATTAGCAGTTTCCCCGTACATAACCTCAAAGAAATATTTTCACGATGTTTTGTTATTATTTAAATAAAACGGTTTGAAAGTGAAAAATTATTTAATTAAATTTCTTTATTTTTTAAAAGTTTATATGACACTTTAATTTTAATAAATAATATCAGGCAAATTCTTTAAAAACCAAAATACAATAAGAAAATTTCTTTTTAGACATTTAAAATGACCGATAATAAAATCATAGCAATTTATTTATGTGTAGGTATGTTGTATTATGAATAAAATATTTAAAAAACTATCACCTACATTTACATTATGTTTTAAAATCCACGTGGGTGTCAAGACAGGTCAGAGACTTGTAGACCCAAAATAGTTGTCTCGAATCGAATTATTTAGAATTAATAGAGGCGCTTACAATCGAGGCAATAAAAAAATAATCTATTTTTTATACAAGAGTTGTCTACCGGCTGCCACAACTCGGTAAATTATAAATAACAAATGACTCAGACTTATGTTTCACAAATTACAAAGGTATTACATGCATTTTCAGAGCATCACGTGAATCATGCAAGTAAAATAAAACTAGTTTCGGGTTTTGTATTTAGGTTAATTTGAAGAAAAGTTAGTAAAGAAAACATAAAATAAATACTAACACATGTTTGTCTGCAAAGTTATAAATAACTAAAAGGTGCATATAATTAAAACTCAGACACGCACTTTCTATGGTTGTCTCATTGTTTATTTTAATTTTGTTTCAGCCTACGAACCCTTGAAGTTAATGCAAACCGTAATGGCCAAGACGAACGAAGTATGTCTCCGTTACCTGGACAATAGTATGCTATGCTCCTTGCCCTCTCCCGGAACCCCATACTTCCCAACCAGCGTGTACGCTGTCAAAAACTCAAGGAGGCGAATGGAAGATCGCCATGTCGTCATACACGACCTAAATACTATGTTCAATATTCAGGTTAGTGTCAAAATGCTGCACACCAAGCATTGTTAACTTATACAGGGTGTCCTCAATGTGTCTTCAAGGGTAGCTTCCTTGTGTGAAAAATGAACTGGTTTAAATTGGCTTACCATAGTACAATTTTGCTGCTTTAAACAGTTATAGGCATTTAAAAAAAAAATGTTAATTTTTTTTTTGATAATTATTACTGTTCTAGATATTTTAATGAAATTTTGTGTAGACAGGTTTTTGGAGTAGTTGAAGATTTATTTTTTTAATGAATATAATATAATGTAACGTAAATTTATTTATTTTTTTTATTTTATTTAATTTATTTACTGTAAAAAAGGTATACTGGCTGTATGTTACTACAATGCTTCGTTCCAAAGAAAAAAGGGTTTTTAGTTTTCTGGAAGGAAGAGCCAAATATTTTAATGTTGGCTGAAGAACTTCGGTGGATGTCCTTTGGTTTATCCAATTTGTTGAATTACTTTACTACAATTATTAGAATTCTTATTGTATCTTTTTTTGCACGATTTCAGTCAAAAAGGTCTATCAGTAAGAACACTACTTTGTAATTAACACAATTTTCAATAAGAATTCTATACAATTCTATACAATTTTGCTTTGAATTGATTTTGATTGCTCCAAATCAGTTAGTGGATGGTCTTTTGAAGTTGATACCATTATGAATAGTTTTAAATCATCAGCAAATAAAAGAAAATAACTGTAATCAACACAGTTATTATAGTCATTAATGAATAAGTTTAGTGATAAAGGGCCTAACTGAGACCTTTGAGGAATACTAGAAAGGAGGAAGAAAGAAATATAATTCACTTGATAGACAATGTTTTATTTGAATTATTTGTTTATAACATGTCAAATATTCCTCAGTTCTTGAAGTTCCAATAACAGTATTTTGTGATTGATTCCATCAAAAACATTGGAAAAATCTGTGTAAATGGCGTGAAAGTGGTTACCAGATTGGTAACCACTTTTTAAAGAAATCGAGAGAAAATAAACATATATTTAAATTGAGCTCAGTTGACTTTGCCAACCATAAATCTGATTTGTTGATTAATGCAATACGTAATATAATAAAGTTAATTTTGAAGTAAATAAAGTGACATTTTATAAAACAGCTGCTTTTTAACAAAATTGGTAAGAATAAAAAATGTGCCAAAAAAATTTAAGACAGGTATTCTTAACAACCTCTTCCTTTTTGGAAAAGAATTACTTAGCTTACTTATATTAACCTTTGGCTATTCCAATAACTCCGTTACACCAAATTTCATGGCGAATACTCTAAAATGTGATTGATTTATCATAAAAAATTAATATACAGGGTGTTAATTAAGTATGTACAATAAATTCAACAAACGATTATTTGAGTGATTTTAAGACAAAAAATTCATATAAACATTGGTCCACAGATGCTTCGTTTTGAGGCTACAGGATGTTAAACTTTTGTAAAAAAATTGCTATTTTGTAAATCTTAAATTCGTTTTACCCAATTTTGTTGTAATTTGGCAGTTATTTGTACTTTATGTTATTTAGATATTACTTGTTATTAATGACAAATTATAAAAAAATGATACTTTCTAAAAAAAATTTTTCCCAGTTTCCTGTGTGGTCCAGGGATATGCAAGTGGATTTTATTTCTTTTTTTCCAAAAATTAACCAAGATACGAAAAACATTCAAGAGACCAAAAAGTTGTATCTTTAGTTGCTTAATTCAAAAAATATATAAAAATTACAAAAAAGTTAGTGGCGTATATTTTTTTTGTCAAAAATATTTGTTAAAGTCCCGCTCGGGATGCTACTGGACAATCTAATCAAGTTGAGATTAAATTAACCCCTTAACACTACAAATAACACTGCCAAATTATAACAAAATTGGGTAAAGGGTATTTAAGATAATTAGTAAATAGCAATTTTTTTACAAAAGTTTAAACCCTGTATCTTCAAAACGAAGCATCTGCGTACCAATGTTTACATGAACTTTTTGTCTTAAAATCACTCAAATAATCGTATTGAATTTATCGTACATACTTAATTAACACCCTGTATATATTTTTTAATGTTGGTAACTTGATCTAAATCGTTAATTTTTACTCATTTTTTAGGTACTCTGTATATGAATTAAACGAAAGTAGCTTGAAGAAGCTACTGTTCGATAAATTATAGAACGTTAAAGTTTTTTACAAATTTTCTTCCTAGTACTGACAAATATTTAACCTTCAGGCATTTTTATGACCCTGGTAAACTCTTTCTAGTACTCCCCAAAAAAAAAAATAGTCATCTCATTTGATTTAAGCTGCCCTTGTTAACATTTTCTGTAAAAAATTGTCTCTTTTCAGGAAGCTAGTCCGTCCAGTTATTATGCAGTATTCGATGGTCATGCGGGACACGACGCCGCCGCCTACAGTTCTGCCCACCTGCATCAGTTCCTTGCCGAAAACAAACACTTTGTTAACAACCCCGAACAGGCCTTGCTTGATGCCTTTTGTAAAACAGACGCTTTATTTACCGATAAGTGTAAAGTTGAGGTTAGTATATGTTAGATGAAGCACCGACAGTATGTGTTTTTTACGTACTTCTTTATATTGAAGTCGGAATATATGAAGATGAGACAAAAAGGGACAAAAATGCTTGATCCACAACTTTTTGATCGATTTTTAATGCATCTGGTGTAAAAATATCAAAATACAACAAAATTATGTACAGAGTGGTGCAGTATTGTACTGTCAAAATTCTACAGGCAATTATCTGGCCAAAAATAGGGAAAAAAGTTTATTTGAACATCAGCAAATGCTTGGCTGTTGAGTTTTATTGTTTTTTAGTTACTTATTTTTTTTTACAAATTACGTAGATGGATTATTAACAATGGCCCTATTCGCTGGCCGGTTTGGTCACCAGACTTGAAACCATATTATCGTAGTTTAACTTAATCTTAGCAGACGGACTATGAAAAGGCTGATCATGCTTTATTATTATTCAAATAGTTAAAAACAAACAAAAAATACACGAGATAGAAATGTTAAGTGATAAAACAGACAGATCATTTTTTTTTCAAAAGAGAAGTCAGTGTTATAAACAAAAATGTGGAGGTGTGGCCCAAAAAAAAAAATGAAAAAAACCCGATTATTTAAAAAAATATATGAATAAATTAGAATAATCAAAAAGGAATAATAAAACTTTGTAGCCTATATTTAAAAAAATAAACAGTTTGGGCTCTTTAACTATTACATAGTAATAACACAGCTCCACAGAGAAAAGTGAGTTGGCTCATGGACTATACCATCCAAATGCCAATCTAAAGTTAGAATTCCCGAATCATTTCATATTTTGACCCTAACATCAAGACACTGCTCTAGAAAGCGGTAATTGAGATTTAAAAATTGACTTGAATAGTCACAGATTGGTAAAATATTCGAATTTATGGTCTTATTGCACCATAACCCCGTAACCCCGTAACTTTATAACCCCATGACCCCATAATGCCATAACCCCATAACTCAGGATGTGTGTGACTAGAACCAAAAAACTTTATGTAAACATGGATCTTATAAATCATGTATCTGAAATCACATCACTATTGGCAAGCTTTCCTCACCCAATAACCCTGTAATTTTGTAACCCAGAGTGTGTGAGTATGTATAACCATGAAACTCTATAGAAACATAGATCTCATACATCAGCGGTCCGAAAGTACATAACTGAGAATTGGCAGGCCTCCATAACCTGGTAACCCCATAACGCGGGGTGTGGAAGGAGAAGGAAATATAGCTACAAAACTCTGAGGAATTGAGTCCGTAGATAGATAGATAGATAGATAGATCTACGATCAGTGATTGTGAGTTTTTGCGAACAAAATTGTTCAAATAGCACTGAGATCATGAACTCCAATGTTTTTCTATTAACTGGCTGCTCAAGTCAGTTTGAAATCTCAAAAACTGCTTTCTAGAGGAGTTTCTTGATGATGGTGTCACAACATGAACTGATCCGGGAATACTGACTTTAGATTAGGATTGAGCGAGTCAAATTATTGTAGGATACTCTGGTCCCAGCCCACATTTTTTTGTATGCATAATTATAGGTTATTACATATACAGGGTGATTCCATTGGCGCAAACATGCTTTATCCGAAAGTCGATAGTTTCGCAAATACAGGGTGTTGAAAGTTAAAATTTTAATTCATTTTTTTGCGATTATTGTGAAAATATGTAGGTTAGGAACTTGAAAATTTGTGAAACTATATTTTTTTAAGCGAGGAATAAGATGCGTGTTGCAATTTCAGCTTTGTTTATAGAGGGCACCACTTACAGCCAATTTTACCGAAAATTTAGTTAATAACTAAATACCCTGTATGTCTAACATGAAACTTGATTCAAAACCTGAAGGAGCCATAATTTTTCCATTAATTATGTTTCCTTGTTTCATTTCGGTATCTCGATACGTTTTCGAGAAAAATCAATTTAACAAACACTATGTTTTGATAATACAAGAAATTAAAAGCGAAACAAACTAAGTGTTTCTTCATGTTATTACAAGAATTAACAATAAAACAAAGGAAATACGTAACAATGATTTAAAGTAATTGTTCGGAGAATCTACCGTTGACACTGATACACTCTACACAACGTTTTCTGAGAGATCTTCGAGTAATATTGGGATTGCGTCTGACTTCGTTGGATTTGTATTCTTTGCCACAACTCTTCACGTGAACCAATAGATTCTTTGTAAACTATATCTTTCATTCGAGACCAAATAGAAAAATCAAGAGAATTAAAGTCTGGACTTCTGGGTGGCCAAGCAAAACTGCTTACATGGCCAATCCAGCGATTTGTAAAACTGCATCTAAATATTCACACACTGGCCGAGAAAAATGCGGTGGAGCTCTGCCGTGCATGAACCACATGACTCGTATTATCGTTAAATCGATTTTTCTCAAAAACGCATTGAGGTACAGAAATGGAACAAGAGTACATAATTAATGGAAAAATGATTGCTCTTTCAGGTTTTGAATCAAATTTCATGTTGGACATACAGGGCCATAACACCCTGTATTTCTGAAACTATCAACTTTCGGATAAGGCATGTTTGCTCCAATGGTCACCATTTCACGTGCGGTATCTTCAGCTTTCGATTTTCCCATTGTTAATGAATCACCTTGTATACATGTTCATAAGGTTTGAAAATAATTATACACAAATCTTATTGGACAAACCAAAAAATGGTCATTGACAGAAGTCTTTCTTCTTAGGGTATCTTCGGGTATATTTTATAAAAAATAGTTTTCTTTTTATCAAATATAAATTGGATTTTTGTTCTGTTGGGCTGTATTTATAATTCAACGGAGGGGTGTATTTCTTACTCAGCCATTGTAATACCAACAAGAGACAGCTGTGTAAAGTAAACCAGGGTGCTCCAGTTTAAACATCTCTTTCTACACAATCCATTAGAACGAAATCCAGTTTTTTATTTTTCTGGATGCCTCTTTAATTAAAATGTTTCTTTTAAATTGTATTTATGGGTTAGGTATATAATTGTGTTTTTTTTTGCAGAATTTAAGTAGTGGCACAACAGCTGTTGTCGCTCTGTTGCGACCCAAGGAGAAATCATTGTACATAGCCTGGGTGGGAGATTCGCAAGCTCTCTTGGTGAATCAGGGTAGGGTGCTGCAAGTTGTGAACCCGCACAAACCAAGTCGACAGGTATGGCTATATCCTAAAACGGGTTATGAAAATTGGAAATAGATATCTGGTTTAGCTTTTATTATTTTGAGCAGTTGGATATTCATAATTCTTAAAGAAATTTACAAATATTTCAAAACGTTAGTAGCTTTTTCGACGGTCTGCAAATTTTTTTTGATTTGGAATCAGCGTTGCCAGACGTCCCTCCAAAAGCGTCCCGATTTTTAGCCCGAAATTAAATATCATTTCAGTTTTTCGGTGTTTACTCGACGGTGTGACGATTAGTATGGTAAAGTAAAGTATTTTCATTAAAACATATTTTCTATGGCAATTTTGGCTATCTATCGTCATGTAAACTTAATTTGAAACTCAAATAATTATTATGTCCCACTTTCGACGAAAGAATCTCGCTAGTTTACTCAAAAGGTTTCAAAATACCGTTTTGCCTTGATATTTTTAATTAAAATGAAAAATTGTAACAGAAGTATTAATAATTTAATTAATTGTTTTTTTAATTATGTGATTATTTTTCAGTAACAGTGCTAAACTAACAATTTTCATTGAAAGCTTTTTTCCCAAACTTTGCAACACCTTGTACGGTACACCTACTAAAACAGTAAATGTTTCCTTGAATCAAACTAGTCCCATTTTTTCTAAACAACTTTTCTTTTGTAATTTATGATCTTTCTGGCTGACCCGACAGACTTTGTCATGTCGAAATTTCAATAAATTTGTTTGTAATCAGTTTTTCTCAAATTTTACAGCCAACTCTTCCAATTTTTCTTTCCATAAAAACCTTAATCGGACTATTACGAACATTAAAAAAAAAAAAATTTGCCAAATCCGTCTTACCATTCTCAAGTGATGCGCTTACCAACGAACATCATAATTTTTATTTATATAGATCTCTGTCATTAGTTCGAATATACAGTTAAATTAAAGCGAACTAATGTATTGTAAAAATTTAAAACACAGCGATAATAGTAAAAAAGAAATCGGTAACAAGGAGAAATAAAAAACAATGAAAATCAATCAATACTTATTCGATCGATACTGGCTTCACATCAACGACCCAGACATTAATTTTTTCTTGATATATCCGATTTGATGGCTTCTAAATTGCCGATCCATACTGTCATTGATTTTTTTGTGTTTTTATTATATCTGAAGTTTAAAAATTTTTATAGTAAAATGGTCATCTTTAATTTGTGCGAATCAAAAAACACATTTTTCATAAAAAAAGTATGGTTTTATTCAAGCAGACATTCGTTATATTATCTAGCACACTTTACATGGTGTTACAAATTTCAGGAAATGAACTTATTCTCTCGTTCACCCTGTATATACTGAAAACTAATATTTGAATAAAAGTTTCTATGTTAGCAACATTTAACTATAATTAACATGAAATGTAGTCAAAACCGGAACAAAATTGTCTGTTCATCAGAAAATCATCCTTGGAATTGGTTCTCATTAATGATAAATTTATTTTTTATGGTAACTTTATGAAAGGTAAATCTTAAATGTATACACATTTTAAAAAGTAGTACAGTTTACTGTGTAGAACATGACTGGCGTCTGTAGACAGTCCTTGGGCAACCCAATCCCCTCCACTACAGACTGATTTAAATTAAGTTGGGACTATTTGGCAGCTTCATTATTATTGGATAGAAAAACGACATTTTTCTGGTTTTTAGAATATTTATAAATAGATATTAAAACACATAATATACATTTTGTATACATACATATACATAATATTATAGGTATACATATTAAAGATAATTTGAAATAACAAAAGTATACGAGCATATTTCAAATGTAACTAAATTTAGGATAATTTTCGTACAGGCTGATTGATTTTGTCTCACCCAGTTAATTTATTTTGTATTTTTGGGTTAGGGAAAAATTAAGAAATACAAAAGTTCTACAAGATAATATGAAAATTCACATGATAATATAACCACAAATCACACACAGACCACCAACCACCTGATGTAACAGTAACAGTAACCATAGAGCCCAAGAACTTGGCACTCGGCTTATGTCGGAAAAGTTCGTTGGGTTGCCCTAGGACTGTCTCCAGACGCCAGTGTAAAACATGTAGAACAGGGTGTAGGGAATTCTGACCTTGAACAAGTCAACCATATTGAAAAGGAGTAGATTCGTCATTGTTCTGTGGTTCTATAAGTGTGGCAGGATGTTTAAATTTCTTAGGGAAATTGTATCTTTGCACTTTTTCATGCAAAATATGGTTATTACATTGTACCAAATAAAATTGGAAACTACTTTACTAAGCAGCCATAATTAAACACAGGGTGTTTATTAAGTACTTGTACAAACTTTAAAGGGTGAAATTTTGACTAATTTTAAAATAAAACGTTCATATGAACATGGATCTGCAACGGCTTTGTTCTTGAGATATAGTGTGTCCAAAAAAAATTTTGTATGGTATTTTGATTATATTTTTGTTCAATAACATGGCAATTTGACAAAATTCGGGAAACTGAGAGTACCGATGATGAGAAACTCAAATATTTACTTAGTTTTTTGTTTAATGTTAGAGGGCGCCACATATAGTGTTGTACTTGGATTTAAATAACCATAATTTTTTTCGCACTGTATGTCATTTTTGACTAAACGTACCTATCCGCGATAATTTTTAAGATGCAAGTGCACCAAGCAGCGAAAGCGGTAAGCTCCAAGACAAGGTAATTTTGACCATGGCGTTCGTGTTTACACATTCATTTGAACAACATTTGTTTTATTTCCCATTATTATTAGTAATTTTGGTATTAAACTGCAGTTATTTGACTTTTGTGTTATTTTATAAGCTTCAAATATTTCATAAATAAATTTTAATGCAAGTATTTATCTCTACCTTGATTTTTTCTAGCATTACAGTTTAATGTACATTTTTTGAGGTATGTATAACTATGAAGTTATCCATTGTGGAATACCTACATTTCCCATTTAAATGCCAACGAAAACTCTCGTATATCAGAAGGAGAGGCAGTTTTTAACGCTAGTCATGTGGTACTCTGTAGGAAAATTGGGCAAAGTGATTTAAATTTAGAAATTTATTCATTGTGTCTGCAAACTAGTGCCCTTACAAACAACCGTCTTGAAATTCAGGGAGTATTGTCTGTTGACAATAATATTTTGAAAATTTCTTCAATGGTTTGATGAAAACTTAATTCTGGATTTTTCTTGGACCATGAAAAACAACCATGAACTGAACAATAATAGTTCGACAATTTCTTATTTTTATCCATAACTGCTGAATTTTTCTTCACACTATTTTCTTAAAATAACGGTGTTCAAAAAACAAACACTAAACACAGTTTTAAATAAAATACAAAACGAAATGTCCCGTACACAAGAAATGTTTACCTTGTTTTACTGGTATCACTTGTCACCGCCAGAGGGCGAGCTCTTAGCTGCATTCGCGGATTCTCCATTCAATTTTACGTGCAACAGATACTCTTAGTATTTGTCGCTGAAAGCAGCCGTTTTGGAAAAGTTAAACTTACGTTGCAATTTTGTAAGTTGAATCATTAAGAGGTTTTGAAAAACAAGTGAAAAAGAGTCATGTGCTATGTTACACTATCACGTTACAAATTACTATTACCAAATTACTGAAAATTAGAAAAAAATAAAAATTTGCAAATATAAAAATGTAATCGAAAAATCAAACAAAAAATTTTTGTTTGGAAGCCCTGTATCTCAAGAACCAATCCGTTGCGGACCCATGTTCATAAGAACTTTCTATCTTAAAATTAGTCAAAGATTCACCATTTAAAGTTCGTACAAGTACTTAATAAACACCCTGTATATTCAAAATAAATTCTTATCGCCTACTATTGTTCTGTGTCTTTATTGATTTGTATTGCATTGTGTTGGTGCGCATATGTAAATAATTACTAATACTTCTGAAAATGTACATGTGGATGGACGGATTAAAAAACATGAAAATTGACTCGTTTACGTTGCAAAGAGCGACCGAAATTTTCGCCCCTTTGTGGGACCTCATAAATTTACTCCAAATGTGTGCCAAAAGATAGTCTATGATGAGACTTGAATCATCTCTTCAGAAACCTTTCCCAGAAAGGTTGACGAAATCATTGATTTAAAATCAAAGGTTCGTTAATCTCTATGACTACAGGTCATTTGGAAGTCAAAGAATTAATCTTGGAATCTTCGAAATTCTTCATTTTTCTGAAGCTTTTCAGTCATTTCATGAAGACCGAAGGGTGATGAAGCAATTCTAATAGCAAATTCGTGCTCAGTGCGAAAAAGTACTTCAGAATACATATGCCACATGTGAAGTACAAGCGATTTTTTTTTAGCGGTGTAACCTCGATCCAACAATCCATGTAAAAATGACAACTTTAATCAACCGAAACTCGAAAACGAAATGTAGCCTCAAGCTAGACGATTCAAGTCTCATCATAGACTATCTTTTGGCATACATTTGGAGTAAATTTACGAGGTCTCACAAAAGGGCGAAAAATTAGGCTTTTTTTCGGTCGCTCTTTTATCTGCAGTTAAAGCAATGTATACATTTAAGAATCATTCTGTATATGTACATGTATGGAGGATGTGGCGGTCTATTACTATAATATAAGCTCAGCCAACTAATTTCTGCAGTTCCATTTCATTTTTGTAACTTCATCCAAATCGTTTTGCAATGGATTTATTAAAAATTATTTTCAGGACGAAAGGGAAAGGATAGAGAAGCAAGGAGGTTGTGTCCTTTTGTGGGGCACTTGGAGGGTGAATGGCCAATTAGCAGTATCTAGAGCAATAGGTAAGAAGTTTAAAACCCAAGATAATTTTACATACGAATTATTATTATTTTTTTGTTGCAGGTGATGCAGAGTACAAACCATTTGTTATCGCAATACCTGACGTGAGGGAAATACCCCTTGATGGAGGTGAGGACTTCTTGATTCTAGCCTGTGATGGTCTGTGGGACTTCGTGTCAGAGGATCTTGCAGCCAGGACGGTCTACAATTTGGTAACGGAGGATCCAGGTAGGAACTTTGTATTTCTTTTTTAAACGTTGTTTCAATCAACTCGTACTTACAGATAATAAGTTGTATCTTAGAATTGTAGATTTTGTGTATTTGTAGAAGATTTCAAGGTTGGCCCTATAGTGCAGCGATTTGAAGAGTCTATTGTGTCGTTTTTTTTTTTTGACGTAGAACCAGGTCAGACATGGTAGGTTTTATTAAGCATGTGATTGGGCATATGAAATGGTATTTTACGACATTTTTTGTTGGTCGGGATCTTTTTAATTTCGAAAAATTAAAAAAAAATCTATTTTTATGAGAACATGTTTTTTAAAGTCTCCACCGTTATATCTCAAAAAATAATTGTACTATCAGAGTAATTTTTTTTTTAAATTAAAGCAGACATAATAGCGCTTTTAACAGTACTAATGGATTTTATAAAAATCGCTTTTTCATTTCGCTAAAAATCAGGAAAACTTGATATTTAAATTTTGTGTAATACAATTTTCACCAATCGATAAACTTTTTTATTTATGATTTTTTTTATATACATGCAGCGAAGAAAATGAAGCCCAAACACTACATAAATTTTTGAAATAATTAGTTTTTTCCTAAAGCTTATAGTTTGGCAACAAGCGATTATTTCATAGCGCGCTAAACTGATGCATGGGGCGTCCAACGTAATGTGTAATCTACATAGTGTACGGCTTGCGGGATTTGGAGTATATAGGTTCGTGCGTAATAAGCAGTGTGTAATAATCATCAGAACATATTAAGTTTTAAGACAATGAAGTGCATTATTTGTAAGAAAACTGTGCGGGATGATGACAAATCTGTAGTACAAAGACCTAGAATTCAAGATTTGTTGTCAAAAAAAAAACAATATTTTAAATGGCGAAATTAAAATAAAATACCTTATAGACTGTCGTAAATCATATGCTAGGTTTCAAAACATTGATCTTACCTGTATTTTGCAATCAGACGTATCACGCGAATATGTATATAATATATATTTTTGATTTGTTAAAATAATAACAAATTTAAACCTTTTATTTTGGTGAATGTATTTTTCAGCAATCGAGAAAAACTTTTATTTGTGAAAATTTGTATGTATATGCTGCGAATAAAATAAAGCCAATACATGAGAAATGTTTATAAAATCATAATTTTTTATGTGCATCTTACAGTATGACGACCGCAATTTTTTTTAAACAAACTGAAGCCACATTTTTGCACATCTGGCTCTCGCATTAGACTGTTTACCGTCTGTCGTCTGTCTAATATCAATCAGACCGCCGCGTCGCGTCGCGTTTACGTGTGGAGTGGTCAAATTTTTATCGGTTTTATTAACTTCAAAATAACTTACCTATTTTGGTAACTACATATTTGGTATACAGCTAAGGTAAAAAACTAGCGAATTTTGAGAGCTGATTTAATTTATTTTTCCGCCTATGTGAGTTTGGTTTCTTATACCTATTTATTCAAAGTCATATCTATAGGTATTATTTATAAAATTATTTAGTATAATTGTTGGAATATTGATATACCTATGTACTATGTATTTTAAAATTTTAAAAATATACCAATATGACAAACACCAATTGCCATTTATAATTATTATTGATAAAAAATCATTTAATATTTGCCACAATGTTTATATTTAGCAATTTAAACCCTAAATTAAAAACATTCTAATTCGTCGTCTTCCTCCATATCTTCCTCGAAATATTTAATAAAGTTATTACAAGATCGACATTTACACTCGTTACAACATTTTAGGCCTTCTTTACCACACCCGCATTTTCTATTGTCACAATTTCCATCCTGAATCGTCTGAATTTATAAGTGGTATTGCTACATTGCTGTTGTACCATATTTTAACTTGATACATACACCTGCAACAGTTAATTATAATATATTAGCTAAGAAATTTATTATTTAAATATTTACGTTTACCTTAAAAAGTGTTGGTAAAAAGCGCCGTCAGCTGGAGGAAGCTCCCATGATGGTTTGTTTGTTGTTGTTGCTAATTCGACTCTTAGATCATTTAATTTTAGAATTTGTTTATCTTTGGTTTTGTACAGTAGAAGAATTAATTTTGTATCGATTTCATTTCTAAAGATTCGTCATTAGACAGCATTGGCAATTCCGATAAGTTTTGAAGGACGACAATATCTTTTTAAGAACGTCAAATGCAGATTTTTTTTCCTATTTTCTCAAAAATGTGTATAATGTTTGGGCTTCATTTTCTTCGCTGCATGTTTATAAAAAAATCATAAATATAAAAGTTTATCGATTGGTGAAAATTGTATTACACAAAATTTAAATTTCAAGTTTTCCTAATTTTTAGCGAAATGAAAAAGCGAATTTTATAAATATTTATATTCGCGTGATACGTCTGATTGCAAAATACAGGTAAGATCAATGTTTTGAAACCTAGCATATGATTTACGACAGTCTATAGTCTATAAGGTATTTTATTTTAATTTCGCCATTTAAAATATTGTTTTTTTTTTTACAACAAATCTTGAATTTTAGGTCTTTGTACTACAGATTTGTCATGATCCCTCACAGTTTTCTTACAAATAATGCACTCCATTGTCTTAAAAAAACACACTGCTTATTAGGCACGTACATAACTACCTACTCCCCAAATCCCGCAAGCCGTACACTATGTAGATAGATTACTTACACATTACGTTGGACGCCCCATGCATCAGTTTAGCGCGCTATGAAATAATCGCTTGTTGCCAAACTATAAGCTTTAGGAAAAAACTAATTATTTCAAAAATTTATATAATGTTTGGGCTTCATTTTCTTCGCTGCATGTATATAAAAAAAATCATAAATAAAAAAGTTTATCGATTGGTGAAAATTGTATTACACAAAATTTAAATATCAAGTTTTCCTGATTTTTAGCGAAATGAAAAAGCGATTTTTATAAAATCCATTAGTACTGTTAAAAGCGCTATTATGTCTGCTTTAATTTAAAAAAAAAATTACTCTGATAGTACAATTATTTTTTGAGATATAACGGTGGAGACTTTAAAAAACATGTTCTCATAAAAATAGATTTTTTTTTAATTTTTCGAAATTAAAAAGATCCCGACCAACAAAAAATGTCGTAAAATACCATTTCATATGCCCAATCACATGCTTAATAAAACCTACCATGTGTGACCTGGTTCTACGCCAGTTTTTTTTATTTCGATAACTAAGCGACTTAGCGTTGCAATTGCGCTCGTCTACTATATTTTCAAGGACTTTCTTCTTCCACTTCGTTTCTCTCTTCTGAAATAAAACTTGATCACTTTTTCTGTAAGAGGAGATGCGTGTATTATAATTAGTTGTTTCTGTATAGAAACAGCAGGGGGTTAGATATTAACATTAAAAACTTCTCGTTTTTGAAACTGGACAAGTAAATCAAAGGAAAATTATATTTTTACATTTTTAACTGTATTAAATTAAATAAAATGGATATTATGAAAAGGGTATTAAATACAAGGTGTTTGTTAAATCTATGCATACCTTATAGTGCAAGTGATTTGTGATATATTTCCTTAATATACCATATTCCGAAAACACTTAGCTTCTGATCTATAGGGTGATAAAGTTTTAATAAAAAAAAATGCAAATTTATAAATATTGCGGAAACCGCTCAGAATATTTACGGAAATTTTACAAGCTTTGACAATTAACAACAATACATGTTTTACGTTAAAAATATTGTTTTTAGTGTCATCAGTGGCGTGCCCACAAAAAATGATATGCAACTGATGTTTCTTAAAATAAAAATTATTTTTGAATTCCTTGTTCAATTTGGAAGAGAAAAGGTATGTTTTTCTTATGACACCCTTTTCGAGTTAAAAATTAAAATTGATTTATTGCATGGCGTAATCCGGTTTCAATAATTTGAAAAATAGCAGAAATTATGCACTCAGCTTTTTTTTTTGTACAAATTTTATTACAAAAAATTATTCCTCGCAGTTAACGTAGGTCTAAAAAAATTTTATCAGTTTTTAGATTCACTATTTACTTTCTAAACAGAAATTAACAAGTTGGCTGTGCACTAGTTTTTATTATTGGTTGACAAAATTAATAATAGCTGTCACTTTGAGTGTTTGCGTGTGAAGCAGTTAAGTGCATAATTTCTGCTACTTTTCAATTTATTGAAACCGAATTATGCCATGTAATAAATCGATTTTATTTTTTTTACTCGAAAACGGTGCGTTCTCTTCCAAATTGAACAAGGAATTCAAAAATAATTTTTATTTTAAGAAAAATCAGTGGTGTATAATTTTTTTCTTTAATAATATTTAGAGACGTGCCTGTGCGTACGCCACTGGTGAAACTGAAAACAATATTTTTATCATAAAACATATATTGTTGTTAACTGTCAAAGGCTGTAAAATTTCATTAAAATATTTTGAGTGGTTTCCGCAATATTTATAAATCTGCATTTTTTAATTAAAACTTTAACACCCTGTAGATCGGAAACTAAGCGTTTTCAGAATGTAGAAAAATTAAGGAAATATATCACAAATCACTTGTACTATAGCCTCCTGCAAGGAATGCATCGACTTACCAAAGACTCTCTATTACCGATAATGAATTGTGTCTTGAAATAATGGATTTGTACATGTTTAGAGGTTACTGTTTCTTCTTTCTTTGCTTCATTCTCTTCTTCCTTCAAAGGTCATTCTTCTTCCTTCAAGTGTCATTCTTCTTTCCTCCAGTCTCCTTCCTTTGAATCTCATTATTCATCTTCTATTCTGTATCTAATGTTGATTCGACATGCAAATTTGTGATAATTTCATTGTTGGCTGATATCCTGTATTTGAAACATTATTTGTTTTTGTGTGACTGGGAGCAATGTCTTACGAGCTCTGACAATAATTATTTGTTTGGAAACTGGAAACTTTTTTGAAAAAAATAAACATTCCACGTGGTTTTGGGTTTATATTTGAAATCATAGATTAGAAATAATAAACTTTTACCCTTAAGTTTAAATTACGTAGTAA